CGCAAGCCAGTTGGAATACAAGGATTGGCAAGAATCCATTATGCATTAAAAGGTAAAGATAAAGCGTGTGGAGTTTATGCTCCGTACGGCGTACACGAAAAATACCGCTGAACTTAAGCGGTACATTAAGAGACCACCAGTGTGAATGCTTAACAACTGTTACTGCACAGTGCACACTAAAGGTCTAGTGGGACTAACAGTATCTGTAATCGAAAATTATTGATCGAAAATCATGTGTACTGAGCGTACAACCAACGTACCCGCGCTCTGCGGTTTCAGCGCACAAAAATTATCCACGGACAGGAATGGTGGCCTACCTTTCGTGCGAGTGCAACGCGTATGTCTCAACCCGAGTACTGACTCGAACCTGTGTTTTGCAGTCTGCAAGTACCTACCAGTAATCATGCCGTGAGAAGATAAAGCTTGTTTAATGCTGTCTTGAGGCAGTTCCAGATGCCTATTCGGTTGCACATCTGCTGTGACGTACGAAGCTCAAAATTTCATCGAATTGACAGTAAATGCATTACCTTGCCCGTCAGTCCGTAATCTGGCGAGGTGGGCGTTTGAGTGCATCTTAAAGATGCATTGTCGTTCAACCGTGCTCCTCGTTGCATGGCCGTTGCACGATCCGGTAAAAGACTTTTAGCCATCATGCAACAGCGTTAGCTTACGCCCACTTGCGTTGGCCGAACCTTGTGCCGGCGGCTGCAATCCGAGAACTGATCAAACCTACATATGGAATTTTATTAGCGCAAGCCAGTTGGAATACAAGGATTGGCAAGAAAAACAGGATTGTAAAATCTTTAATAACTTGTAAAATCTTAATAGGATTACTCCACGATATCAGCGTAATAAAGTCTGTATATAACGCGCTCGTGGCTTAACCACACAGAATCCCGAGAGCTTGACGTTGAATCAGTACCAAACGTACGAGTATCGCTTCTCGCTCGTTCTGACAAACAATTTCTTGCCGTGCTTGTGCAACCCTGTCAGCAACCACGGTTTAGCCACTTGCTACAAGCCTGAGGATACATGGTGGACCTTCATTACATCTTATAAAATGCTGGTTGAAAAGGCAGGGGATAAAAGGTGGCAGTGGCACCTGCCACTGGCATCTGCCACTGGCAGTGGCAGATGCCACTACGCGTTCTGGCAAGCGATAAAACCTGGCAAATGCCAAAAACTCGGAATAAGAAAATTCCTTTGGTAAATGATAATTTTTTTAGATGGAATCTACTAATTTCATAAGCAAATATATAGGTGGACCCTGTATGAGGTTACGAGTAAGTTGAAGTACTCCTTATCTCTGGACGCTTCAGTCTGAGACCTGCGACAATGAGCGCTGGGACTACAAATTGATAGATGTAACGTTCAAGGTACATCAATATTGCGTCCGATCACTTCGGCCGCATGCGTTCATTTCGGCCGACGTTCATTTCGGCCGAGGCTCACTCCGGCCAGCACTCATTTCGGCCACCGCTCATTTCGGCAACAGGACTTTTGGCCATCTTCAGTTCCCAAGTTTTTCTAGTTTTCGCTATTTTGCTTCCGTTTTCTCAGGTTTTTGAGGTTTTCCAGGTTATTATTTTAGGTTTCTTAGGTTTCTTAGGTTTTCTTAAGTTTCTTAGGTTTTCTTATGGTTTCTTAGGTTTTCTTAGGATTCGTAGGTTTCTTAGTTTTTTTTATGTTTATTAGGTTATTCTTAGGTTATTCTTAGGTAGTCCTACCGCTCATGTTGGATGGGCACCGCGACATTTCGCCGCGGACAACTAGTCGCAAGACTTTCGGTCGCAGACATTTCACTGCAAGACCATCTCGCCGCGCGACGTTTAGTCGCAGGACATTTCGTCTGTAGGATTTTTCGCCGCGCGACTTTTCGTCACACGGGCGCTTCGAAGCAAGGAAATTTCGCCGCAAGGATACCTCGACGAAGAGACATTTCGCCAAACAGACAAATGATTTACCAAGCTAAAAAAGAGTCAGGAAAAGGAAAACTAAAAAAACAAAGCCAAACGAACAGCCTAAGAAACCTAAGAAACCCACAGAAGACATAAGAAAACATAAGAAAACCTAAGAAAACCTAAGAATCCTAAGAAACCTAAGAAACCTAAGAAACCTAAGAAACCTAAGAAACCTAAAAAACCTAAAAAAAATCTAAGAAATCATAATAAGACCTAAAAAACTTTAGGAAAACTAAGAACAAGCCTAAAAAAACTGAAATCTAGTGAGAATAAATCGCGCTGAATTATTTTGCGGCGATTAGTTGCATCTTTCGAAAGCCCCAAGATAAAAATAATATCCACGTCCAGACGTCTTGTCGAAATGTCGCAAAGTTAAAATGTCTCAAAGCACAATGTCCCAAACCGAAGTGTCCCAGCGTCCGAGTGTCCGGCTGCGAAATGTCTTTGCGGCGAAAAGTCGCGCTTCGAGTTTGAGTGCGGCGAAATGTCACACTCCCAATTGTCCGGGTGCGCACGAAATGATAGCTGAGTGAATGAAATCGTTCTGGATGCATGTTCGATTAGTCAGGACCGCTCTTATTTAATGCATGAGTGGCCTGCATCTGCATACCATGCACCCATCGTGATCGGTACTAAATAAATGTATGCAGCCTCTGGAAAAAGCAAACGGGGCAACAAATATTTGTAGTTTCGACGTTCATTGATTTTGTAGTCGCTCGCACAAGTCTCAGGCGGAAGTTTCCAGAGGTTAGGTGTAATCGTAATCTCGTATCGGGGCTACCTAATGGGTAGAAAATTACCAGGTTCGCTCTGTAGAACTTATCGTTGGGCGCCAGAACACCTGATTCGAATTTCTGGTATTTGCCAGGTTTTATCGCTTGCCACAACGCATAGTGGCAACTGCCACTGCCGGTGGCAGTTGCCAGTGGCAGGTGCCACTGCCACCTTTTATCCCCTGCCGGTTGAAAAAGTCCCATCGAGAGGGAAACCAGGGGCTGCTTTAATTAAAGAATTGGAATCAATGGATGGACCGGCGTCCCGCTTGTACTGTAACACTCCGCCAACACTTGGCGGCTGATAGGGTTCCAAATGCACGGTATCGGCTATCCCTGCCAAACGGTAGCTGTCGCTTATCTCGCCAGGATGCCGTGCTTTTAGCAAGGGATGATGAGAGATAGGTCGCCTCGGCATGTTGATATTCTTACCATTATTTCTTTTACTCCGAATTGTAGAATATCTTCTTTTAGACATCTACCGTTAGGCGATGAACCGTGGCGTAATTCCTTTTTTTTACGAAAATCCACGCAACACTAACACTGCGCCCAATATATATAACTTCCGTGCAATGAACTGGTAAAAGCTGGCATTCGATCCAGTAGTTGAAGTCAGTGTTTCTTCGAGGTCATCCATCATTTCTTCTGGCAGCATAAGGTCCTGCATGCATTTTGCATTGCTTTTCTACAGGGTGACCGTTTTGCTGCCGTATGCGAATGGACATCTAAATACTGCAAAATGATGGGCAGAACTCCATACTGGATATTGCCCAGCGGATGAACGTTATCTGTCATATTTACGCACTTTATTACGCTTTACTGGTAACAGTACACGCAAGGCAGCTTGTCTACAGGTTATCGGGCCTATCACTTTTAAAACGATTATCACGGTGGCTGCTCACAGAAAATGGGTGTGTACAGCTGTTCCTTGCTTGCTGTTTCTACAAGACCACAATTATGGACGGAAACATCAAAAACATCGGCTTTCACTCGTTCTTTCTAAACACTCGGCAGTTATAAATAGAAAGTAAGTACGGATGGATAGATTGTTTCGTGAGCAGCCTGCAAGTCCGTAAAGAAGCGCTTTCACAGACATTTCTTCACTAAGAACAGTTTTCCAGGCACTACCAAGTCTGGTCAAAACACAATAAAATATTTACACGTATAGAAGATCCAGTCACTAAAGCAAGAACAAGAATTTAACTACCCAACAACAATTACAAAAGATTTTTAGAATGAAGTAATGACACATATTGCTTCGCAGAACGACAACCGAAAACATCTTCCACCCCACCCGCAATCTTATCAAACAAAGTTTCCAGTCGCATTGCCAGGGTTGTCTTTCCGATGTTCATCTTGGCACTTGCATTAATTCCGCCGGAAGTTGTATCTTTCGCTGGTCTCTTTAAAGGTGACCAATTCACACATGTGCGACGGTACGGTGCAGCTGTCCCGGTTTTTTGTACAGCCAAACCGCTTCCTTTTGGCGCCAGCGGACTGCCGCTGGCGTACTGTAATTCCCAGCTGCGCGTACAGTTCCGGCGTAATCCGCCGTTTACTGTCACCGACGATGGTCCGTAAGACCGTAAGGCTACGTTCTGTAAGGCTGCGATACAGTTGCACGTGGTCGTTTCGATGCCTTGGATATCTAAAATCCAGGCAGCCGTGTTAAGCATGACCTTTGTATAATTGTAGTTTACGCGGTGCTGCTGTAGGCAAATATTTAATAAATTATAATGAAATTCAATGACTAACCAGCGTTCGAAATTATTATTTGCACCGAAGAAAAAAGATCAGAACTGTGATGCAATTCACATCTTACACACAATAAGACATTAACGTGTAATAAGTTTTTAGATACAGTATGATGATAATGCGAAGCGCAGTAGGATGTAACATTGTTAAAAAAACTGACAAAATATTTGCTACTGTATTTTATATTGAAAATTAATGCGTGAATGTGGTTTTCAACTTCCACCTACACTTATGCTTGCATTCATTGATTCCGAGGGTACTTCCATCTGAATCGACCACATCCTCGAACCGCATGCAGTACTCGCTAAAATTGTCATGTTAAAGTACATATTAAAAATATCTGTGATATGAACCAATTTACAATCTAATCTGCCAAATATCCTAAAGGTTACGAAATGGCGAATGACGGACAGCCTCATCCTCAGGCCTCGCATTTGATTTTTGGATGGCTATTAAACTGCAAGCATTAAGAAACAAGGTATGCCTGTGCTCGGGTTAACAGCCCGTTAACTGGTTAAGATTGAAGAATGTCATTTTCTGGAGATTCATTCCTTGATTTGGTTCATAAAAAAATTATTGAAACTTCTTTGGTTTTGGTTCTCTTATTTTGGTAATTTCAAAACCTCTTCTTTGATTCAATATTTTGACCTTCGACTTGTCAACGTGCCTGCCTACCCGCATCGACACAGTGGGAAACCGGATCCAGTGGGTATCTGTGGTGACTGGTGAGCGAACTCCTGAGCTCTCCGTGGTGATTTTATACGGTAAGGTAATTGCCCTATCATCTGTGGTGAAATATCAATTTTACGGGAAGGGAGAACACTGTAGCCATGGAATTACGCTCATGAAGTCAGCCGGTGCGAAAAGCTAACTGGAGGACCGAAGAACGGGTCGTTGCGTCATCGGTATGTTATTCCGCAAATTGTCATACCGATCGCTGTTATGCACGAGAAGGTTAGATAGAGTGCAGGCAATTACTTATATACTTATTGGAAAATGGATTGCCAAACGTTTTGTGCTGCTTAATTGTGCGATTATCTCACGAATCACGAAAAAAATTCGCAGCAATTTTTTTTCGCTATCGCTGTGCTATAGCTGTTCTATAATTAGCTATTTCGCACCTTTGGACTAACTGTAATTTCATGGCTACAGTAAGAGCTTACTGTTATAATTTATTCAAATGCACGTTACTTTTCTAGTTTACTGTTTCTTTACTCGTACAGAACTATTTTTGGAAGATTGCAGTGCATTTGCTGATGATTTGCACTGAGTTTAGTATTGTTTAGTGTTTATCAACATATTTTTCAGTTTTTCTGACTGTACTCAAGCAGGATCGCCCGGTTTGAGATTAGTCACGGAATAACGCTACTTTGTTTGATTTAAATAGTATTAAATTGACGTTTGCGATAATGTGCGTCATCAGTAGAAAGAAATTGCGTCGGTAGAAAGTGAGACTCTGATAATTCAAGTGACTGCAGTATTCTGAAACTTTTGACAGACTCATGATAATTATGATGGTACCCTTATTAGGAATAGGCACCCTCCCAACGCTCGCGGATCAGGGCCCCTTTCCGCACCCCTTTCATTACAGGCACCGTTAATAATTAATTAATAATTTTAATAAAGAAGGCTGTCCGTGTGAATGGCGTTATGTGTATGTAACCGAGCAAAACGTCCGGACGACTAAGACGTCCGGCAAGCGTTTTGGTCGTTAAACCGACCGGAAGGTCCGAAGACAAAAAAACGTCTCCCGTAAATTTTTGCTCACATACTTTTTTGCGGTATCGGTGCGCCCAGATGCTTCTGACAATTCATTGCGTTGCAAGCTGGACACTTTCGTCGGAGCGCGATCTTAGCCCGGACAACTTGGTCCTTTCCACGTTCAGTCGCCGAGGACAAAATATTAAGACGTGCACATTTCGGCGAGGTCTTGGTCCTCCATTGCCGTTCATTAGAAGTCTGTCGCTTCGTTTGATTTTGTTCGGCGGTTGGTAATTCGTCCGTCGCATACCGGTTACTCCGGCTTCGTTTTACTAAGCGGATTTGGTCGAAATGCCCGCGAGTTCGCTTTTGAGGCATCTAGACATTTGCCGGTCCTCGCCTGCCGCTATGAGTCGCTGGTCGTCGCCGTCAGGCGATCTAAATTCTCTACCGCGCTCGTGTGCTCGTGATGTCGCTGCCGGCATGTATACCCGTTTGGTCAGCCCGACTCATTTATCATTGTTTCGGTGATGGTTTAACGACACTGCGACATTTCGCCGAGGATAAACGGTCGCAGGACATTTGGTCGCAGATATTTCGGCGCAAGGTCAACTCGCCGAGCGATGTTTCATCGCGGGATATTTACTCGCGAGCCGGACTTACGCCACGAGTCATTTCGTCGCGAGACCGTTGCATTGCCGTGTATGTAATCAGGTTTTTGGTTTCTTTTAGTTGGGTTCTCTGCCGCATTGCCATGCTGAAATCAAAGTCACTCAATTTTGCCTGGTTTTCCGGATTAGTTGTTGCGTTACTTCCGGCTGTCGGTAAGGTGAACATATGGACGTGGAGACTTCGGTTTAACGGAGTATGTTTACCATACTGCAGTTTCTTAACCATTCCTTCGTCTAATAATTTTACTAACTTGGTTTTTTAATAAATGGTATGAATTGTGGTCATTCTTGAGGAGACCTTGGTGTTCTTGTTTTCGAGTTTGCAGCTTTCGCGTCTCCAATCACAGCATTTTTAATCTTGTATCCTAATTCATCTGCCTAAGCAGTTGTGCTCTGTTTGGCAGATTGTAGTGGTGGACACGCACGCGACACGATCGCATCATCGCTCACCGACCGCACCGTCGCACAGGGCGACACCGTCACTTTCTTTTGCAATGTGACGAAAAGCAGCGGCACATACTGGCTGCATGAAGACCAGCGCATTGATTTCAAAGAAAGGCCGCGTTGGAATGTCACATGTCCGGCTTATCCGCACAAGCACACCGGACTGTACACGCTGACCATTAGCAATGTGCAACCGGAGGATGCCGGTAGAATCAGCTGTAAGGCTGATCCTATGAACCCCGACCAGAGGAACGCTATCGTATCGGCAATACTACGAGTTGTCAGTAAGTTTTGCGTAAGAAAAACAGGACTACAATACTATTGCGGAGATTAGTCAGAAACCGAGCCGAGTTTGCGCTTTGGATTCGTTTGCTGTTCAGTGTCAGGCGAAGGAGACATGTCACATTGGCACGATTTAACTGTGTTAAATGTATTTAACTGAAAAAGGAGTTTGTGTGCCGCCATCAGAATCTGATTAATGACTGCCGCAGGTTATACGATCAACGGAAAACCAGTTACAAGGGAGAGCGTGCGAGTTCGCGTCGGAGATCATGTTGAATTGGCGTGCTCCGTCCGAGGCAGGGAGCCTTTACCGTCCGAGGCAGGGAGCCTTTACCGTCCTTGGCATGGTACCGCAACCACATCGAAATGACAAACATACGTTGTGAGCCGCCGAGTACGTACCGATCAACTTCTTCATATTACCCTCGTACAGCTGAGTTGCCGTTTTATCTCCTTCTGACAGGAAGCAGATTTCCTGGAGGTTGTCTTTTGACGAGGGAAGCCCATAGAGTACCTCTATTAGGGCTTGCCAAATTCTCATTGGATACACTAGCATTGTATCCAATGCATTAAAACGATTAGGGCATGCTAACTTCGGCTTTATTGGTCAAATCAAAATCGCAATGCATAAGCAAGAACAAGAACACATTAGACTATAACAGAAAAATTTCGTTTAGTTTATCTAGCCCTTCCATCGTGCCCAGCACTGAAGCCGCATTTCCCCGCTGAATTTCGATGGACAAACGCTGTCGCAGAAATTCGTGCGAGCGTGCTTCCCCGGTGTGCTGCTGCAGTCTTTTTCCCAGCTCTTTGATGATGGCGATCGCCGAAGGTCCCCACGGGCCCAGTGTTTCGAAAGCGATCGGGACGAATAGGTAGCGGCCGGTCAGATAAAAATATAGTCCTGCTTTCTTTCCTTCTGCCTGGGCAGCGGCCGCTCCCGCTGTGGTGGAAGTGGCTTTAAGATGCGACAGCGCAACCGTGTCTACACATGTCACGTCCCATGCAAGACACAATCCGCGCTTCCAGGCGAATGTCGTGCAGCCATCCGGGCGGCGTTCGTTTGTGTGAGATGTGCCGCGCGGCTCCAGTTTTGCAGGCACACCAGCGGATACAAAGGCCCTACAAATGATGCTGTTTAACCCGCCGTGGCGCGGATGCCGTCCGGCGGAGAGGGCATGCTTGGATACTGAAGTGATATCCATGTAAGCTATATGTATCCACTGTATCTGCTGTACCCGCTGTACCGACACTGTACCCAACCTGTATCCACTGTATCTGAATTGTACCCGCTGTACCGACACTGTACCCAACCTGTATCCACTGTATCTTCCTTGTACCCGCTGTATCGACACTGTACCCAGTCTGTATCCACGGTATCTGCCTTGTACCCGCTGTACCGACACTGTACCCAACCTGTATCCACGGTATCTGCCTTGTACCCGCTGTATCGACACTGTACCCAGTCTGTATCCAGGGTATCTGCCTTGTACCCGCTGTATCGACGCTGTACCCAGTCTGTATCCAGGGTATCTGCCTTGTACCCGCTGTATCGACGCTGTACCCAGTCTGTATCCAGGGTATCTGCCTTGTACCCGCTGTACCGACACTGTACCCAGTCTGTATCCAGGGTATCTGCCTTGTACCCGCTGTATCGACGCTGTACCCAGTCTGTATCCAGGGTATCTGCCTTGTACCCGCTGTATCGACACTGTACCCAGTCTGTATCCAGGGTATCTGCCTTGTACCCGCTGTATCGACGCTGTACCCAGTCTGTATCCAGGGTATCTGCCTTGTACCCGCTGTATCGACATTGTACCCAGTCTGTATCCAGGGTATCTGCCTTGTACCCGCTGTATCGGCACTGTACCTAGTCTGTATCCACTGTACCTGCTATCGGTCGCGCCTTTGCAGTGCTGATTTAATGAGAAACATACATTTGCAAAAACGTTGATTAAATTCATAAAATGGCGAGAGGGCATTCACGACATAACGGTTATTCCAAGTCCGAATTAAGCAAAGGATTTTGTTTGAATGCGACTATTTCAATCTGATAAAATGAAATACTAATCCATTCGAAATATATACTTTTAAACATGATGGCTATTTAACGGGCACGTTTTAAATTATTGTATATTAAAATAAGGAATTACCACACTGCATAATAGCAACAGCAACGAGTGTTCACTTTTTACGTGGGCCTCCGGTGTTCTTCGCAGCACGCTTACGCGAATTCGTTGCGCAAAATGGACACTTCCACTCCCCGTCCGCTGGAACTTGCTGCTTCTTTCCATGTCGCGTGTTCATTGATGGAACGTTAATGCAGGCCCGTGAAAATGTAAACCACTGGTGGAACAGGAAAAAAATTTTGACAGTGAAGAACTTGCAGCAGTAGCTTCAGATGGACAACCCAACTGCGGAATTTTTTCATAACATTTGGCGCAAGCATCTTGAAGAAGTTCTCCACTCAGAATTGCAAAACGTTCTCCCAGTGCCACGGCAGTTTTTGGCAAATTGTCTGCAAAACATTTACTTGTAGATGAAGCGCAAAGCAATCATATTGAAATTGCAGAACATACTATTTGACGAAATGATAGGCTTAAGCGCTTCGAGAATCGGGTCAACCCCCTCCGCTCCGTTGCCTTCTCCGGAAGGATTGTCCGTGCCTAATATGGGTAGACTGGGCTGCGAAGTGCATAATTTCACAGTGTCCTAAGTAAAAAAAACTCAAAACTGTACTGGTTAATCTGCTTGATCGTATACGTTTTATGTATGAGGCGTTATCTATCTGAAATGTTACAAAACAAAAATTTTAACGATTATTCAACACTGAAACTCGCTTACCGATTTCCGATTGGCGTCATTATCTGCGTCAGAGTTGTGCAACGTCGCAGAAGCAATACCATCTATGCCTTCATCGTCTGAAGTATCCGGTTCAGTTTCTTTTGCTGAAGTACCCAAAACCATGGTTTCATCTGCGAAAAAGTAACTTAATTTCCCATTTCAAGAAATTTATTCTCACAAAGACGCAATAGCAGTTTCCCGTTTGTGATCGAGTTGAATATTTTACAACTATGTTTGACATAACCCCTTGCAACTATGTTTGGTTTTACCCGTTTGCAAGTCCGGCAACGGCATTACTGCTTCGGGTGCAATGTCGACAGCACCATTGATGTTTCCCGGATTTTGCTCACCGTCTCCTAAAAAAATTTACATGTAAACGCTATTTTTCCGCATTTCCAGAATTTCAGTATTACCAAGAAAAGTACTGGAAAGCGCTGGGCAAAAAGCGCCTTCAACAGGAATAGCCGAACTCTGAAGATCGTCCAAATCCGCTACACCCGCAGCAGGAGGCTGATCCTCGGGGCCTCCGATCTCAATCTTCTTACCTGTAGAAAATAGAAGTTATCATTTACATGCTTGAAACACTTATTAGGTTTCACAATACGCTCCTTACTATAGCTAATAACGATATAAAACAAAATTACAGCAGGTATTTGCAATGAATTCTTTGATTCTTATACTACAACACGAGCTCACTTCGTCCGGCCAATTTTGCTAACTGCGCTGAGTTGAAAAGCGCATGCGGAACGTAGAAGCTTCGTTGTTGATAATATCGCTCATCGAACCCTTTGCGTCCAGGGTATTTAACTGGATGATCCTTGATCACACCCGGTTGGCGCTCTAGCATTTCAAAGCATATAGTAAGATGTAATTTCGAAAGCTTGGACGCCGAATCGACCGCCGCTTTTTTGATAATCGCGACGTAAAAATCTTCGCCGTGCGTGTGGCTCGGTTTGAGGATCCAAGGCAGCTTAAAAAAATAAAGGTCACATAAATGTTTTTTCACTGGGCAAGCCTGTAACCAAGCTTAATTTTCTTCGTCTCGTCTATTAGCCTTATCGTAGACGTACCTCTTCGGCCTTATGCTGGCGCAGCAACGCGATGAGTTCCAAAAAACTATCCAAAGCGTGCACCACGCGCTCGGTGGGCGCGTTTGGCTTCTTAGGAAAGGTCACGGTGGGCATGTCTGTGGCAGTCAACGCAGCATTCGTAGCAAGCGGTCACATGTTGACTTGCTGCTGGTATCCACTGGTGAAGCGTGCGTGTTTTTTGACACACTCTAACAGCGCCCCCTTATCCACATCAAAATCCAGGGCGGCAGCTACCTAAATTTAGCAAGAATTACACTATTACAAAGAAAATCTGATGAACTTTAATTGTAAACCCTTTCAAAACAAACATACGAAAATACATACCTTTTCTCCTGCTTTCAGTAACGTAGCCCACATCCGTGCTGCCCTCTGAACTCCTGTCGTTACTCCGAAGCCGGCTAGAATGCCCAGCATTTTCGTTTTGGCACTGTTGATTTCTTTTACTAGTTCCTGCATCAGTTCGGGTGCATACAGAGCAACCAGTTTTTCAGCGTTTCCAGACGCTTGGTTGCGAGCCTTTTTTAACGCCTGAGTGTCGTCATCATCTAAATCGGCGATTTCGATGTTCATCTCCAACGCACAAATTCGGGTCATAAGTCGATTCCTATTAAAAGGTCAAGCTTTGTAGCTGCGACGCAAAAATACTATTATTCCGATCTCAATTTTTTATACCTGTCCGTTGCGGCTTGCACGGTATCTTCGAAAATATCGTAATTCATGGTCATGAGGATTGAGGTAGCCGGCTTAACTCTTTTTTCTTGCGTCTTGCAGTTAACATGGATTGTTTGCTCATACGAACATTCCAGAATCATCACGGCTGTCTTGTAGTTTTTGAAGTCGTGCGATATTAACGGAAGAGGCTTCGTTACCCAGCGCGTCTCAAGGGATGGCAAGGTGATTGACCGCAGGTTGCAGTGATCCAGCATATTCTGTCCGAAAAAGTCCAAGCAGCATGCGGCGGATAGGCTTTTCCAGGTATTAGCATCTCCAACAACACATATTGCTGGAATACCATGCAAAACGTCTGCCAGGAGATTGTATCCCATGCTCATCCATGTATGCCCTGTAAACAGTCAGCAATTTATTTCCAATTTGTTTTGCTAATAATTTTCGGAAATTTAATATTTACCAAGCATCAGAATCCAAGTATGGAATGTCTCCGGTGGCAAACACCGCTGCAGTATTTCCAGCAGGTTGTAGTATATTTCTCCCTTGTGAACACTAATGTCCTTCGGTTGCGTATTATGCGGCGTCCAAGCGTAGATGCCTTCTCCTGGCTGCAAGATTACGGATGGTTCTCGTCCGATCTCAAACATTGCATCAGGTCCAAGAATTAATGTCCTCTTGTCATCCTGAATACCCAAACGTTTGACCGGTAGGCGATGTACTGCCTGCTTCTGGGAGTCGCTAAAGCAACAAAACGAAAATTTCATCACGGTTGCTTGAAAAATTTCGAAAATATTGAAAAAAAATGTTGCTTGAAAAAAAATCACCTCCGGCTCGTTAATTTCCAGTCCAGATATCGGTTCATCACCATGTTTGGTGGCAGAATAGCCAAAGCAGGAATGTTAATACCTTTGTGAATACCATCTCTGACACTAGCGTTGTTTTTCCAACTGACATTCAGAATCAGGACTTCGCTGCGAAGACAAAGGCCCTTTATAATTTTCAAATTAGTGATCATTTTAATACTTTATGAATTTGGGGCAACAAGATAATAATCAAAAAAATTAAATTACTTAAGATTTAAGGTACTGTAACGGCAGGGACCGAAATAAATTATTTAAAAATACAGCAAATGTGTAAATAAATTAAATAAATTATTATTTATGCTACAAAAATTTTAATCAACAAAAAATTGCAATCAGATTACACGATAAAATGTGCAAAAACACAATAAATGTGGATTAGTTTTTTAGCTTACTGAACCCGCTGAGGATTGGCATTGGTTCGCATGTCGAAAACCACGCCGGCTTCGCCATCGTCGCCATCCACTTCGTATTTGAAATCCAGTACAAAATTCATAATCCAGTTGTCGCCAGTCAATTTTGCAGATCGCTTTCCATAATAAGTACGATGATCATGCTCCCGAAACACATTCAGCGTGTTTGCTTGGGTCTTCTGGAAGCAAACCAGTCATAATGAGACTTTACCGGTGCGTACACAAGCAACGATTTTACTTACCGTTGGTGACCCTAACATTTTTGGGGATTTTTTCGAAACCTCAACATAAGTCACAATGTGTGTGATTTTAAAACCAGCGCAAAAAGTTTACGCCAGAGTGAGGGTAGAAAACTGAAACGAGAAAAACGTTTATCAAGTCTTCTGCACTCGCTTGTCGGTAGTTGGTTCAGCAACTGTAGCAACCCGGATAGCTGCTTCAGAATTGTTTTTATTCTTCAGCGTAGGAAATGCATCCGGATAAAGAAAGATTACTCAATTCTCTTCGTTCATCATGTCTTCTGCACTCGCGTGTCGGTAGTCCGGTTAGCAACTGCAGCAACCCGGATAGCAAATTCAGAATTGTTTTTTATTCTTCAGCGTAGGAAATGCATCCGGATAAAGAAAGATTACTCAATTCTCCTCTTAACCTAATGCTATTACGGATACGTTTTTCAGGGCAGATTCGAATCTTGCACAAGATACAGAGTAATGCGAGAATACCATAAGAAACTTTGGGAAAAACTTTGCTACTGACTAAGTGTTTAAAGAAAAAGTGGTTTTTCTCAAGTGCGTGTACAAGTGCCAAAATATTTGTCAAATTCAAAGTGACAAACTGTGTAACGATTTTGACCTAAAAGATTTTCATAGCCTTTGCATGGATATTTTAAGTTTTAACAACATTCCAGATTCCGACAATAACATCGCTGCATGCATTTTGAAATGCGGCTTTGAAAACGTGCAACAAGTACGACGTGCTTTGAGTGCTTGCAATGGCGTGCTTGATATCCACGACCACAAAGCCTTGGAAGTATGTTGTATTTCATGTAATTGTGAACCAATGGGTAAATCTTTTATTTTTTAGTCAGTGGGAAACATCATCGGAATGAGCGCCGAGCGCTTGCGAGATCTATTCATAACCATCAAATATGCGGCGCCGAGCTTGCTGGAAAACAATCTGGGAGACAAAAAGGAACCTTTTCAGTTTATGCAGCCTGGGACCAAGTCATGCCTTCTTGGATGCCCTCGGAACCTGGAGCTTCATAATCAGCCGGCTGAGGTAACAGTTTTCAGATTTTCCTATCGTAGCAATATAAAAAAAGCGTAGCTTTAACTCTCACCTAGTGCAAAATTTATGACGTGGATGGCAGTGTGACGACCGCATACCGGATTACGACCCGATGTCGCGGTTGCAACTCAACATACCACTACGACATGTACAAGAACGGAGCCAGTGGAAGATATCATTTTTACCAACAACCTCAAAAGCTTATTCGCGTCTCGTTGCAAACATTCTGGACGCAAAAATTGTATCAGCTTTTTGTGCAGAATATGTAAGTGCGTTGTATTTAGCTGTTCTATTCGCGTAATAAGCGAACGTGTATCAGATTGCAGTGCCACGCTAGCTACCGAGGATTTTCGGAAACTTACAACGAAGCGTTTGGAAGAAATGGTATATCTGCTTTTGAAACTGCTAAAAAACATCACGACAGCAAATCATTTTTTCAGGGTTCTCGCGAAAGCACGCATCAGACGTATTCATTCGACAGGAAATTGAGCTTGAACTGCGGAGGCTTCAGATGGACTTCGGGTTTTCCAATCAGTTTGATTTGGAAGAAGTCCTGCCCGTACTTGAAGCGTTACGTTGCGAAACATTGTACCCTCATACGCATAATTCACTGTGTCAGAGCAAAGGATGTGGGGTAGTGTGGTCGGCTGACGCAATCTGGAACATTCACTTCGCAATCCGTGCCATGGTCCAAGATGTAAGTAACAATTGTGACACAAAAATGAAAACTAACAAAAAACTAGCTTCGACTAAATTTTTTTAGAATACAGTTGACAACATCAAACTAGTAAACTATCCTGATGTTTGCACGAACGAGCCACTTCGGAAGCTTGGATCCTTGTTTTGCGAACAACATGACGCCTTGGCTACAGAACGCGGACTGCCAAATAATAAGCGGTTTCAGGATTTGCACCTGCAAGGTTTCCCGTTCTAAATCTACTAAACTTTAACTTATTGCCTCTTACAATTTTGGTTCCCGCAGGCGTCGGTGTGTTGATAAGAAGTCTGAAGTCAAACCGGATGGTTCTTCCCACATCCAGCCAAAACGATTTCTTCGAAAACTGCATCGACGATGGTATTCCGTGCCAAAAAAACCTGGGACAGCCGAAGAAGCAGCCAGTCAGATCGCGCGGTTACTTTGCTGTAGTTCGTGCTGGCGGTCATATTGATTTATTATCACCAATCTACAAGTAAGTTTCGGAAATGACACCAGTGCGACGGGCATAAAAATTATCGAGTTTATTAGAGAAAACTGTCAATAAAAACATAGTGATAGCCCATAATAAAGATTGTTTTTGAAGGTCGGAATCGGTTTCCCAAGTATTCCTAATTTTACTGGCTTGGAAATACCTCACGCTAAAAAATGTCCCAAAGCCGGACTGGCCTAAATATTTCTTAGCTTACGATAACATGTGTCATCTTGATAAGCTTAAAGGCGCCCAGCAAGACCTGCCACTTCCTGAACCGTATAACAAGCTTTGGACGGAAGGAATGACAAAGGTCATCGACCGGTTTCACCTTGGAAATCATGTTGGTCACGAGTGCAAAACCACTTACAATCCGCAGAAGATAAGCGACGCATATCCTAACTTATCATCTACAAACACTCAAAGCTGCGAGCAAACTTTCAGCTGGCTTGGACGATTTCGGCATGCTTTGTTCAAAATGCCGAAGCACAGACAAATATTTTTTTTGCATCGTCTTATACTGCGCAGAAATGCCTACCTAGAGAACATGGAAAATGTTGAATTAGAGTTGTCAGACTCAGAAGACGAATAGCATTGAGGGTTTTCGATATCACATTTTCAAGATTGGTGTTCTTTAAACAGGTATGGACTGTTGTATACAGCTAACTATAAAATTTGTTGCTTCGGATTTCTTGATTGCGTCAATTACGTGCTCCTATCTGTAGTGGTGTTGGGTAGATTTAAATTGTAAAAAGACCTGCGCTTGTTGTACTGAGATCGGCTCATTAATAAAACGCACAATTACTGAAATTGGGTATATTAATTCAGATACGTAACTTATTAGATATCACTCAGGAAACGCTGTGAACAAAGCGAAAGTGGTAGTGTCTATAATATATGTAGTAAAAACGATTGAAAGGTTGTGCGAAATGTTCTAAACCAAGTAAAAGGTTGTGAACAGAGTAGTCACTAATTTCAATTTGTTTAGTTGCCGAGTTTTGACCAGTACGTTTCGACCTATCCTGTATCGCTTGCCTTGGTGATAGACTGAAAATATAGTTTGAAAATTTACATAATCTAGTATTCAGTGACTTACCGCCCGAAACATTCCGTCTGAACGAATGATAAACTGGCAGTCAAGAGCGCGGAATCACTGGCACTGGCAGACGATGTTTTCCTTTTCCTCAGGGATTTGTGCCACAGGAAAACGTTCTTGATGGCCAGATACTTCTTATGCAGGTGTTCCATATAATAACTATTTTGCAGTCAACCTTAGTTTGCCTTGCGTAATGTGATAATTAATACTTACATACTGGCTAATAATACACTTATTTACAAGCGCTCGGAAATTTGATTCTTTTATTAGCTTTTGAATACAATTTCAAGACCTTAGCAACTCGAGGACGATACTTGATCAAAAGATACTATACATATATATGCAGTACATTAGCACACAAAATCAGTGCAGTGGCACTGGCGCTGGCTACGTAGAAGAATTCTCGCACTGGCGGAAAATACCGGGTACAGTAGTTACCCATTGGATACGTAGAGTTAAAACAGACAGTGTCAGAGCAGTGGATACTGATAGTGTACAATGGTTACGCATAGGATACAGTGTCGGTACAGTGGATACAGTGTCGGTACAGTGGATACAAATAGGATACAGTGTCGGTACAGTGGATACAGTGTCGGTACAATGGATACAGTGTCGGTACAATGGATACAAATAGGAAACAGTGTCGGTACAGTGGGTACGCATAGGATACAGTGTCGGTACAGTGGATACAAATAGGATACAGTGTCGGTACAGTGGGTACGCATAGGATACAGTGTCGGTACAGTGGATACAGTGTCGGTATAGTGGATACAGTGTCGGTACAGTGGATACAAATAGGATACAGTGTCGGTACAGTGTCGGTATAGTGGATACAAATAGGATACAGTGTCGGTACAGTGGATACAGTGTCGGTACAATGGATACAAATAGGAAACAGTGTCGGTACAGTGGGTACGCATAGGATACAGTGTCGGTACAGTGGGTACGCATAGGATACAGTGTCGGTACAGTGGATACGCATAGGATACAGTGTCGGTACAGTGGATACAGTGTCGGTACAGTGGATACAGTGTCGGTACAGTGGATACAAATAGGATACAGTGTCGGTACAGTGTCGGTACAGTGGATACAAATAGGATACAGTGTCGGTACAGTGGATACAGTGTCGGTACAATGGATACAAATAGGAAACAGTGTCGGTACAGTGGGTACGCATAGGATACAGTGTCGGTACAGTGGATACAAATAGGATACAGTGTCGGTACAGTGTCGGTATAGTGGATACAAATAGGATACAGTGTCGGTACAGTGGATACAGTGTCGGTACAATGGATACAAATAGGAAACAGTGTCGGTACAGTGGGTACGCATAGGATACAGTGTCGGTACAGTGGGTACGCATAGGATACAGTGTCGGTACAGTGGATACGCATAGGATACAGTGTCGGTACAGTGGATACAGTGTCGGTACAGTGGATACAGTGTCGGTACAGTGGATACAAATAGGATACAGTGTCGGTACAGTGTCGGTACAGTGGATACAAACAGGATACAGTGTCGGTACAGTGGATACAGTGTCGGTACAATGGATACAAATAGGAAACAGTGTCGGTACAGTGGGTACGCATAGGATACAGTGTCGGTACAGTGGATACAAATAGGATACAGTGTCGGTACAGTGGATACAGTGTCGGTACAATGGATACAAATAGGAAACAGTGTCGGTACAGTGGGTACGCATAGGATACAGTGTCGGTACAGTGGATACAAATAGGATACAGTGTCGGTACAGTGGATACAGTGTCGGTACAATGGATACAAATAGGAAACAGTGTCGGTACAGTGGGTACGCATAGGATACAGTGTCGGTACAGTGGATACAAATAGGATACAGTGTCGGTACAGTGGGTACGCATAGGATACAGTGTCGGTACAGTGGATACAGTGTCGGTACAGTGGATACAGTGTCGGTACAGTGGATACAAATAGGATACAGTGTCGGTACAGTGTCGGTATAGTGGACACAAATAGGATACAGTGTCGGTACAGTGGGTACGCATAGGATACAGTGTCGGTACAGTGGATACAAATAGGATACAGTGTCGGTACAGTGGATACAGTGTCGGTACAATGGATACAAATAGGAAACAGTGTCGGTACAGTGGGTACGCATAGGATACAGTGTCGGTACAGTGGATACAAATAGGATACAGTGTCGGTACAGTGGGTACGCATAGGATACAGTGTCGGTACAGTGGATACAGTGTCGGTACAGTGGATACAGTGTCGGTACAGTGGATACAAATAGGATACAGTGTCGGTACAGTGTCGGTATAGTGGATACAAATAGGAAACAGTGTCGGTACAGTGGGTACGCATAGGATACAGTGTCGGTACAGTGGATACAAATAGGATACAGTGTCGGTACAGTGGATACAGTGTCGGTACAATGGATACAAATAGGAAACAGTGTCGGTACAGTGGGTACGCATAGGATACAGTGTCGGTACAGTGGATACAAATAGGATACAGTGTCGGTACAGTGGGTACGCATAGGATACAGTGTCGGTACAGTGGATACAGTGTCGGTACAGTGGATACAGTGTCGGTACAGTGGATACAAATAGGATACAGTGTCGGTACAGTGTCGGTATAGTGGATACAAATAGGAAACAGTGTCGGTACAGTGGGTACGCATAGGATACAGTGTCGGTACAGTGGGGACGCATAGGATACAGTGTCGGTACAGTGGATACGCATAGGATGCAGTGTCGGTACAGTGGATACAGTGTCGGTACAGTGGATACAGTGTCGGTACAGTGGATACAAATAGGATACAGTGTCGGTACAGTGTCGGTACAGTGGATACAAATAGGATACAGTGTCGGTACAGTGGATACAGTGTCGGTACAATGGATACAAATAGGAAACAGTGTCGGTACAGTGGGTACAAATATTAAACAGTGTCGGTACAGTGGGTACGCATAGGATACAGTGTCGGTACAGTGGGTACGCATAGGATACAGTGTCGGTACAGTGGATACAGTGTCGGTACAATGGATACGCATAAAATACATTGTCGGTACGGTTTAATTGTGATGTCCTAACTCGTGCCATCTCTCGGGAAGCCCGTCGCATTACATGGCGCTTTATAGTTCCGGTGGGTCTTTCTGCGGCTTACTTCACCTGCAAGGCTCGGGATGACACGGAAGGGCTTGGGAAATGTGATTGCCCTGTCGTTACACTGCGACCTTTCCAGCTGGATATTGGAGGTAATTAAAGATATGTTAGTTTACGATGCGTTTGTTAAACCCTTGGATTTGAGTATGAGCTAAGCTTTACAGCTAAAAGGTGCTGTTACTTAACGGCTGGCATCACTGCCGACAGGCCTTTTCATTTTAAAAATATCTGCATGTATTTGATTCTCGAATAACTGGCTTGACAATATACTGTCGGTGTCCCATTTCTCCATGTGGGCTTTAGTTAAAGATGTTCTAGTTCCGGCGAGCTTCGTTTGAGTTTCAGATTGGATTAGTAAGGCAGCACATTTTGCCAGCAGCGCTTAACGTTGGCAGTTGCTTTTGCAGTTGAAATATTTCCCACCAAAAAACCTTGGCTGGGAACGACAACGGTTGCAGCACAGACAACAAGACTGACGCGTCCGTTAACTAGCAAACCGTCACCAGCATCAATCCAAGCGACAGATGATCCTGCACCTGCATTAACTGTATTTCCTGATCGTACCGCATCAGCCAGCACGGATGCACCCGCTTCCAGTGCGTTGCTAGTGGATTCCACGGTGGCCGGCTGGTGGACCCAGGGGAGGTCAATTCCATGGGACATTGACGCAGAACGTACTGTTCGTCCAGTAACTAGCAAACCGTCACCAGCAGCTGCATTAACGGCAAATGATCCTGCATCTGCATTTTCTGGATATCCTCATCCTCTTGTATTTATCCTCAACCTCAACCTATCATCAACCTTGTATCTATCCTCAACCGCGCTAAGTGAACTGCTTGTGAATTCAGCGATGGCCGGCAGGTGGAATCCACAGAGACCGATTCCACAGTGGCCGACAACCGGCGTGCGGGGTGCTGTTACGCGACAACCGGATAAAGCTGACGTATCCATCGTTCCGCAAATTACCGGTTCGCGTCCGGCGGTGGATGATGTGAAGAGATCTGCCATACCACGACAGCCAGTGTAGGACGAGAAGGTTGCTGGGTCCCATAGACCATCTTCTGTGTCATAATGAGCAATTTCTGGCTGTATTTACATATGTACCGGTATCTGCGTTGCAAAAACCGGTCTTTTATGGTTAAAAGCGGTCTGTTTCATAGCACTTACCAATGACCTACGAGTGTTCATTTCGTCGTTAGATGTAAGTAATAGGACTTCGTATTGCCTGATTAGTGTATGCACTATGCAGTGTTTGAATATATGAAGCATTTCAAATTTTATGCTTTTGATTATGGGTTACATGGATACAGTGTATAAATATGTATTTTAGGCATTCAAAAGTTTGCGCTTTTTGTTATAAAATCTTTGGCTCCGTCACTTCCAGCATTTGAATGCGCATTTTTGGTTTTACGCTTTTGGTTATTGATTGTATAGATTCCTGCCTACAGGGCGCACTTTACGGAATGCGCCAACTTTGTCTAGATGCTATACCTGAATCGTCCGTGAAATGATACTAGTTGTGGTGAAAAATGGCACAAAATGGCAGGTTCTGATTTGATTGAAATATTTATATCATATTCCGATTTTGGCTGGAAATGATAGATTTGCTTGCATTTTGGGAGTGTTACATGCTTGCGCCAGATGTTTGTGCCGACTGCCGATACATGCGAACATAATTCTTCGCATGCGTATGCCGGTTTCATTCTTGTCAATGCATGCAAAGATTCCAAAATAAGTATTCAAACCAGAAAAAAACCGCTTCATTAAAACTTAAAATGTGCATGCTTCACCTTGGAAAAAACTGCAATACAGAACAGACAAGTTATGACAACAACAGCCAGTTGACAGGGTGTTAGTAATGCAGTCTTAAGAATGCATAACAGGAGTATCCATATGTACTATGTACCGCCATAACATTTAATTGTCTCCCCAACATCGCATCCGGTGTATTATTACCTTTGGTAGAATGTAATTTTAAAAGTATAATAACTCAAAACATCAGCATTTTTACATCAGAATTACTTTGTCATCCGGTTGAATCTTCAGTCAGGCCTGCGACTTTCAGTCGTAAAACTTTTTGTCGTAAAACCCAGGTAGAGACTTCAGGCTTCATCGGCTATTGTAGAATTTTTAGTGGATCCATCTTTCGAAGGGAGCTGTTCTTTACCTGAGTTATAAGAACAAATCTTTCGTCAGTTTTGCGCGAAAAAAAGGCTTTTATTCTATGTACTTCTCAGTTAATTATTCACCATGGTGATCGCGTGATCAGGACGCCACGAAGAAATTCGCTTTCGCTATACAGAATAATTGGTTGCGTCCGTGAAATTTCAAATCATCTGTTGTTATTCTACAACAAAAGCACGATTACAAAATAATTAAAAATGCCTGGCTTTACTCACCGACGGCACAATCCAACAAATCCGGCAATGCAGACAAGCCAATCAAGAGCGTCTGGCCAGACGCTAATACTGTTATTGGGCTGTGCGCGTTGTCGGACGACAAAAGGGGGCACCAAAAACATCCAGGAATAAACATGGTAATTCCAGCAAAATGAACTGTGTTTATAAATACTAAGGCAACTTTCATGATGACTTTTGCGAAGACCCAGGAAATCACAAAATAATTTGGTTGTAAGTTTGAAACAACTTTGCGATTTCCTGAGCTTCCTTGGGTAACAAACTAACAATCCTCTTTTGCAGGTTTTATAACAGTCGGTCCAAGAATAACGCTTTCATGTATTTACAGGTACGAAAAAGCCAAAAATACAGCCGAACTTAAGCGGTACATTGAGAGACTGAAAACCAATGTATTGTAAACGTTTGTGTGATTGCATACTACAAATGGACACATAAGTCTAGTGGATAGCATCGAGGAAGTGTTTCTGTTGTAATAACTATTTTGTTTTTGGCAAAGAGTTTGTATCCGATTCCGATACTTATTAAAGGTTACCCATCATCGTGGTGATTAACAATCATCGAAAATTATTGTGCGAATCATTTGTACTGAATCAAAGTATTCGCGGTCTGCGGTTTCAGCGCACAAAAATTATCCACGGACAGGAAACGGAAATGGTTCCAGTCGGACGAATGAAACGGCGTATGTCTCGACCCGAGAAAGGATGCGAACCTGTGTTGTGCAGTCTACCGATAAATCATGCTGTCAAATAAACCGATAGATGCTGTCTTGAGACAGTTCAGATGCTTATTCGGTTGCACATCTGCTGTACGTATGCAACTCAAAATTTCATCGAATTTAGTGAATTACCTTGACCGGGACCTTGTGAGGTGGGCGTTTGAAATTGAGGACATACCGTACTAAAGATGCGTTGCTGATTGCCGTTCAACCCTGCTCCTCATTGCAAAGCCGTTTCACAGTCCGGCAAATAATAATTTTTTTACACAACAGCCTTAGCTTACCCCCAATTCCTTTAACCGAACCGTGTGTCAGCGGCTGCAATCCGAGAGCTGATTAAACCTGCATTGTGAAATCTTTAATATCTTGTAAAATCGTTATAGGATTACTCCACGATATTAGTGTAATAAAGTCTGTACCGCGCTCATAGCTCTACCACACAGAATCTCGGAAGCTTGGCGTTGGATCAATAACAAATGTATCGACTCGCGCCCGTTCTTTCAAAAAATTTCTTGTTGTGCTAATGCAACCCTGTTGTCCCGCATTGCAAAATAGGATTTTGGTACGACATGAACGCTGGCCAGTCAGCCTAAGAACTAAACGCCATGAACAGCAACAGCTAGGAAGTACTGTACAACAGCAATCACCGCGTTGCTAAGTACGACAAAAGCATATACACCAGAACACTACACCTGTCAACCGCCACGGTTTGGCAACCTGCTACAAGCCCGAGGATGCTGCCTCCATGTTGGATTTCCAGCACATTTTATAAAATGTTAGTTTAAAGTCCCATCGAAAAGTAAACCTAAAGCAGCCCCATGCTTTAGGGGAAGATCGAAATCAACGGATGGGCAGGCGTCGCGCTTATAATACTCCGCCAACACTTGGCGGCCGATGGGTTCCACATGCACGGTATCGGCTATCCCGGCTCACGGTAGCTGTCGCCTATCTCATCAGGTTGCCGTGCTTTTAGAACGGGATGATGAGCGATAGATCGTCTCGGCATATCGATATCCTTCCCATTATTTTATTTTACTTCGCAGGCAATGGTAAAAGATCTGCTTTTAGACTGCTACCGTTAGGCAGTGTACCGTGGCGTATTTTCCTTTGCATACTAAAATAGTAAAATTCATGCAGCACTAACACTGCGCTGCGGCCCAATATAAGTGACTTCCATGCAGTCAGCTGGGGATAATGTGGCCTTTGGCCGAATAGTCGCAGTCAGCATTTCCTCTAGGTCATTGTCCCTGCTGGCCGTATAAGGTCATGCATACATTTTGCATCGCTTTTCCATTAACCGGAATGACATAAAAGTACGTCAACAAGAAACGGAAAAGCAAAACCCTAGCTGATATGCTAGGAAAAGAGCTACCCGTATGCGCATTTTGGCGAAGAAGTGCATACGACTTTGCACTTACATGTATGGTACAGTTTCCAGTTGTCGCAGAACAATGCAAGAGAGCGATAGCATGCGCTAGACACAGATCATTGACTGTCCTCAAATGATAACATTGTGCACATCCGGCAGGCGCGGGATTCGATAACGTCATTGTTGTACTGCTGCCCTGAAACTAGAAACGTTATATAAACATTTGCCACTGCCTGCGTCTATATTGCCGGTTGCGTTATTAGAAGGAAACATACACAAGCAAAATGGCTTTTGTTCGCTTTAATATTGCTTTTTTCGTTTTGATTTTAAGTGGTGGTTTTTGTGTGCCGTTAGAGGAACACGAGGAGATTAAAAAGTCAGTCGTCGCTAACGATTATTTTCATAATAGGCTGCTAGCAATACCTCCGAATGTTTCCGTTAAAATGGGAGAAGATAACCTCGACAACTACGCGACGCCGCTGGTGTTTGAGGGAGACATTCTGGGCGTGCTGAAGCCAGGCGATACTATCGCTGACTTGGTATGCGTAACGCACTGAAAAACACCGCACACGTTTGCTGCAGCACAATGCACATGGACTGGGAATGGGTTTCTAAATTATTGTGCTTCCATTCCAGAACGACAAATTAAACAATCCGGAGAAGGCGGCGCTATTCAATGAGAGATGGCTCTCTGGAGATATGTACTACCGGATATCAGCCTCATTCACCCCGCATCAAAAGAACCAAATTCTAATGGCGATGTCCGACATTGAAGCAAATACGGATGCTATTCGATTTATCGCGAGGGGCGATTTTTCTTTTCGCAGAGATTATATCAACATTATCAAAGGTGTCAGGTACGATGATACGACAATTAATCAAGGGAATTTACAATGTGCGAGTAAATAATATGCCAATAAAATAATTCTGGTATGAATCGATTTGTCTGTCAACGGAAATCAAGATGTCCGCTGCAAAATTTTAACTGTATTATGTAGTGTGTCGGCGTTCAAATTTCATTGTAATCAAAACTTATTTTTGCTGCAAAACTCGTAAACTGACTTTGCATATTGTTCAGCTACAAGTTTTTGGGGCATTCACACTAATAGTTTGAATAGTCCGAAATACCGAAGATTGTATCGGAAAATGTTCAGAATCTATCTTTGTGCAGCTGTTCCAGTTATGTGGGGAGACAAGGAGGCGCACAAGAACTTTCCCTAGGCAACGACTGCTTTGAACATGGAATTATAATCCATGAACTGATGCACGCCTTGGGTTTTGGCCATGAACAGTCGAGGACTGACCGGGATAGTTACGTCGATATCAACTGGAGCAATATTGCAGAGGGTATGAAAACAAAGCATAAAAACGTTCATGGTGCGCCATGTGCACATTACGAACGATTAGAACGCCTTTTGTTTTGTGTTTATCGTCTCGTTATGTACTTTGACATTCTTCACATTGTGGGTTCGTGTACCGGACACGAGAGTCACGGTATTCTCTGCGTTGATCTGCATTAGAAAAAAATCAGAACTTGTTAATATCTTGTTAATCTCGTGTACCCGCTTGCACGAGTGTAAAAACAATAATTAGCACGCGATCAATTCCTGAAAAGTTTCTGTCATGTGCAGCAGCGCAGAGAATACTGGCACGCAGCCATGCAGGTAATCCCGGGTGTCCGGTACATGAACCCACATTGTGAAAATGTCCACAATGCGCAAAATGTCGAACAGCATATGGCACTTTTACAGCTGACAGGCACAATTTCGACAAGTACGAAGCAAACACGATTACGACATCTGGCACGACATACGACTTCGGGTCAGTTATGCACTACGGCAAGAATGATTTCGCGATAGATGCCGATAGTTGGACGATCAGGCCGAAATCTCCATGGCAGAACACTACCATTGGTCAGAGGATCGGGATGAGCGCCACCGATATCAGAGAAATCAATGCATTGTACAAACTCTGTGCCACAACCTGGGACGATTATTCCGGCTGGCTTGGCATCGAATCCGGCATGCGGTGGATCAAAGGAGAAAAAGACAATATAAATATAAGCTTTTTAATGAGTTCAGCCAAGGTAAAAGTCGGCTGCATTTTGGCTATCTACACTGGAAGTAATTACCGGGGATTTAGAATCTTAATTGGGCCAGCTGAAGAAGGTGATCTTTACTGGGACTTTCAGGGCCAGTTGTACGATAAGCTGGCGCGATCAGCCAAGTGTTTTTGTTCGTAATTTTTACTTTTCTGGGTGACAACATACAGTACATCAGAGCATGGCTAAGGCCCTGGTATGCTTTGTTCTTCCGTCGTGAGTGGATGACAGTGGCCATCTGAAACATGGTTGTGAAGTGCTTGCAGTTCCTTCCTTTAATTCTGTGGTCGTTCGATGATACGATCAGTTAAATCACTATTGCAGACTGGTAAGCGAAACTTCTTACATCTTTTTCACGCATAATTAAATATTCGTGCCGTTCTTTCTCACGTGGAGTAGCGGCAGCACTAGCTGGTTGATAAATAATAGTAGTTTTACAGCGGCTGTGGTTGAAAGGTCACTCCGGGGCTGTTGTTTATTCGTGTTAAAATGCGCTTGTATTTTGGGGGAAATGATGTTTGTTTTATTCTGCAAATACCGTTACCGATTAGCTGCATATGTGTACGAAAACTGCACACTTCCCAATTAATAAATACCTCAATGTGACACTTATGGCATGGTACAGCAGTTTTTTCCTAACAGCAGATCCTTAGTTTCGAAGTAAAAAAAATTCAATCAGCACGAGATACTCTTGCCATGAGTCATGTGACATTTATTTGGGGATGCTCATGATCTCATCCGCGTTATCCAAGCAGGCCCTTGTCAGATTGCGATTACGTTAGAAATCGCCATGCTCAAGTTAACATTAATAGTGGGCCAACGTCAGCCATTAAGCGATTACGCTGCTGTTATGATCTCCTTAAGATGCCTCATCAAAAGCGGCAGCCACTGTCAATTTGCCTTCGCCACCTCCGTTGCCGAGTGCGGCGACAAACACCGCGACGATTACCCATCTTCTCTCTGGCTTCCAAAGTAATCGCCATCAGCTGCATCAGCCTACTCTTCTTCATCCTTGAACAGCGGCCGCCGGGAAACCGCCACTTTTTTCCGTTTACACCAAGGCGGAAAAAATAATACGGTGCTCGTTTTCTGCATTCTGTATGCGATACAAGGTAGATGCATTACAGCGAGTAGTGTTTTATCGTGCCAGGTAAATATTAGCCGGTATATTTTAGGCGGTGTGCTGTGTTATGTTATGCGCGACCAAACCGGTTCCGTGCTGTGTCTGCACAAAATCCCCCTTCATCACATACACACATATACACACAGCCACTCAAATCGCAAAAGCATACACATCACAGATTGGTTAAATCACCGCAGCGAGAGTTAACCAGCATTACATTCTCGGCACCCAAACATAGCAACACTCCTCATCGACGGTGCATTTACAGTTGTTGTTATGCTACCTTGCTCTAATTTCTTTCCCTGCAGCATCGCGCATCCGTCGTTTTCTTAGGTTTCTTAATTTTCTTATTAACGGACTATAATCGCGGGATGGTGAAGGATTAAACTGCGTATCCTGCGTTAACGCGCTAAGGGAAGAATGTTGGCCAACGGCCGGTTATCCCGGCAGGTGAGCAGTCCGAACCAGATGGGCGACAAGTCGTCCTTCATCGCCTCCAACCGGGCGCGTTCCCGTGAGGGCCATGCGGCCGCCCCCATGGGCATCAAGGACGATGATCAGCGCTGGATCCAGATCCAGCAGAAGACCTTCACTAACTGGGTCAACGAGCAGTTGAAAGCCGTGGGCAAACGCGTGGACGATCTTCAAGGAGATTTTCAGGATGGACTGAATCTGATCGCGCTGATTGAAGTGTTGCAGGGCCGACGGATCGGCAAGGCCTTCCAGAACCCGGTCAATCAGCACCAGATGCTGGAGAATGTACAGTTGGCCTTGAATGCCATGATGGAGGATAATATTAAACTGGTCAATATTGGTAAGTCGCATTTGTAATGCAAAGCGGCGCCAACTGCTGACCGGATCGCGCGGTGTCTAATTTGGTGGTTTCATTTAAAACGTGCTATGCTAATTTTTCAACAAAAAATGTTTTCGTCAATTTCGCTTACTTAAAGCCGCTGAATTTGCGCTCAACTTTATGGCGAACAAGCGAAAACTATACATGTGCTAAAAATACCGGAAGTAATCTGACAAAAACGTTCTGCAAATACCGGACCGCACCATCTTTGAGTTTTGCTGAAATATTACAAATAGATTATTTGGAAATGTTGTACAGGCAAAGTTGGGCGTGGGAATCAGATCGTACAAAAATGTTTATGTTTACACTTTACACCTAAAAATTATCCCGCCGAAACCGCTTGCGCGCAGTTGCATCAGCGCATAAAGAAAAGCCCTTTCTTAACGTTTTTTTACCATTTTTATTACCCATTATGCGAGACAGTAAAATTAATGATTATCCTACTAATTTTATTGCAACCGCCATTTATTCGGTTCAGAGCAGCGAATGAGCCTGAAGAACATGCACAACACTGGTTGCAACAGCAGTGTTTTATGATAATGTTGGTCGACGGCAATGATGATCGGGGCAGATAATAATCGTAACCTTAATTGTCCGTGTCCGCGAAAGTGACGACACAGATTCGGCGGCAGATTATTGACAAGACAAACAGTGGAGCTGTGTTGCATCACGGCATTGTTGTGATTAAGGTCACGCCTGGGGTTCTGTGCCGCACGGTCTGAGGTGAGGATGACTATGCGCGCGGCACAGCGGGGCGGCCAATCCGATGTGACGCGTCTAAGTGGTACTTACTGTTAAAGAAATAAAAGGCTTTGTAAAGATTTACAACATTTATAAAACCGGCCTATAAAGTGAGTACACGCATAATTGTACGCATTCCTAAACATTAAAAAAATGGTGTCAACATAAAAAAAATGGTTTTGATAATACAGCGGAAATTTTGACTCAATCTTTTGGGCATAAATGCGGTAAACTAAATCTTTTTCTATAATTTTTTTTTGTATAATTAAGTTTAATTAAAATAAAATGCTTGCGAAATGCCCGCTAATATATAAGATTTTATATATTAGCGGACATTTTTATATGTTACCGGGCATTGCTGTCGGATTAAATAAAAACATTTAGTTCGCCTGATAATTTTTGTGTTATGGTTTACGTTATTTTTTGGCTCACAAATTCGTGCGAGTGATTTTCAGCGCAGGCCAAAGTAGCAAAAAATAACTTGAGCGTTGAGGATTTGCTCGCGATGAGCCAATCGACTGTTTAATAGTGGGATATTCAAAGATAGAAAAAATGTGCAAAATGAGCAGTTATACGTGGAGTGCGTGTTTGCCGTCGTACTTAGCACGGTAACAGCCATCAGCCAAGCATCCTTCTTACGCAACCCGACAATACAATAATCGCTATATTACTTATTCTCTCCGCAAGCGGCCAGCTATGTAGATGAATATTAATCAATCTCCAACATGCACTTAATGCGCATCGTATGTACTGCATTGCTCACTGAATCGAACAGATTTATTTGTCAGCCGCCAAGAAATTTATGAGTGTTTGGGTTTCTTTCAAAGATGTAACTTCCTTCTTTGATGTTCTTTCATAAACGTGACACTAAAATCGTATGTACTCATATGCTGCAGGACTTTGGTGATTTGCTTAAATAATCTGAATAAAATGCGATTTATTTGCAATTTAAATTTTCTGTAAGTTTTTGTGAGGAATATTTACGGAAGAAATGGCAGCTTTAGCTTCCGCTTATCAAAAAGCTTTGAATGAAATGACAAAAGTGTTACTCATGCATCTGATCAATATTTCTTCAAAATGTTTGTTTTCGAGAATTAAGAAAGGAAATTTACGCCTTCCATAAAAACTTCCTTATGGTACTAAAATAATTTAGCTTAATTCAAGAAATTCAATTTCGATTTAACAGTCTTTCCGCTGCGGGTTTTACGGTGCACCACCCCGTAATTTAATTTCACACCATCTGTGATTAGCGGTACAATGACCTTCATTTTCTCATCATAAATATTATGTGTCTATGATGAGTGGTTTGTATTGTGATTTGTATTGCGCCGGTAAACCACGGCGATGCTTGAGAGAAAACACCGGTTGTATCCTTCGTTTGGGGTATTTTTTGTTGTGGTTAGACAGCTGTAACTGCACAGAATAAAACGCTTTGCTACGCCATTCTCAACTTAATCGTTTTTGATCGGCGCTTTGCATTCTCATGAATATCTCACTGTAGGAAAATTCCTCGGCAAAAGTGCAGCTACAAAAAAACACTGATTCGAAATCTACAGCAACAAATTTTTCCTCTCAGTTAAATTTTGTTTTCTTGCATAATTTCTATGTGCGATTGCTCAGATATAATTGTCTGTCAAAGCAGTCAAACAGACATTTTATTTAGCACGAATATAACAAAAGGCGGGAGAATTTTCCCAGCATGACAGTATGCTGGGAAAATCAGGGAAACCCTTTTTAATTCTGTTTCAGAATAATTTTCCGGTTTTTTCATGAAGTGTACCGAAAAGTTTAAACTATCGCGTGCATGCAGGTAATTTAGCACATGTGGAACCTTTTCATCACGCGAAGACCGTGAAGTGGTCCACTGCGCAGATGGGCAATATCTACCGCGGACTGCATAGTCTGCAGCCTGCACTGGTACTGCACGGACGTTAGCCAAGTAATTTGAGGTTAATGTCGTCAGGTTAAATGCTGCCCGAGTTAGACACGCCTGGCTGTTTTTTGGGTCAGTTATTGTGGTGTCTGTCCAGCCAGCTGGCAGCAATGTGCGCAGCACGCAGCTGCAGCCACCTTGACAGGTATTCGTGAGAAAAACGTACGCTACCAACGCGAACACGACTACCTGAAAGTAAGAGTCAAGGCTGCTATGTTTGATAAGGATACATTTGGCTGTTTTGCATGCCAGCGATGAAATGCTAAACACTATCAAACGTTCTCATTAAATGTTAAGATAAAAAACCGTCATGATAAAAAACAAGCTTGCAGTACAAAATACATATGACGAATCAATGCAACACTAAGATAAATTTAGTTCGGCAATGAATCACTTAAGTCGCAAAGTAACATAAGTCAACACTATTATACCGGGAGAATAAAATTTACTATCTATATATAATTATCAAATCATCATAATGCAAAATATCCGAATTAAACAAAAATCAATATAAGCAATTTTTAAAAAAAGCTATTTATCATTTCGAAAACGTTTTTAGAAAAGGGAAATATAAAATAGCTAAGTCGCTGAAATTCTGATTTTGTGTTCGTATGTAAAAATTAGCTGTAAGCTTTGTTTTAGCAGATCGTCTTAATTTTATTTCTTGTGGTCTGCATGACAATTGCACAATTCTGTCAAGATATTCGTTGATGAATTTACCAGTGAATTTCCTGTTAGTTGACTGTATTAGCGAGCATGATCTGCGCAGCCGGTTGATTAGGCTGCAAAACGGCGCTGATCCCTGACTAAAACCTCTCTTTTCCGTAACGTGATTGCGGGATGGAGACTGCTCGAGTGAAGACGGACGAGTCTCGCCGCATGACTGCTAACGGTCAATATGTTGCGTTATGCAAATGTGCGGGAGAAGCGCACCTGTTGATCGTGTCTGAATCTGTTGATCGATTGATTGACGCAACGGACAAATATTTACGATTTTATAGTGCCTTTTATAACAATTCGTTACTATAAAACTTTATACTCGAAGTGCCAGCCGAATGACGAAATTATAATAAAAGGCGGACCTAATAAAAAATTTCAGGTATATCAATACTAACATTAATAATTTTATGCTTGATTATTTTGAGATTTTTTATAAAAATTGATCAAAGTTAACCTGCTGTGACTGTCTGAATTATTTTCAACTGGAGCAAGCGCTGCAAAATGCTTAGTCGAGCGCGGCAACAAAACTGGTCAAAATGTTGGCAAACATGAAGAGCGAAAGACGGATCAGAGCGGCGATACATTTGCTTACAATAGCGCACAAAGTCGAATTTGTTAATGATATTTGTTTATCCAGCAGTAGCGGTTAGTCAGCTCATAAAGCGGATGTTAAAATTAAAATGTTTTCGCGCTGAGTGAGCATGTTGATACAATGAGCTGGCAGCGGTAGTTCAAATAAAACGCATTTTGTCGTCTTCACATATGACTACAACTTAGCATTGTTCGAAATGAATGCTCAGGATTAAAAAAAGGAATCTTCCCAGAATGAAACAGCACGAGCAGTCTTTACACAAGGCACTGTAAATTAATTTAACTGTACGGATCAGAGTTGTGAATTTTTTCCCCTTCTTATTTTGATTATTTTTAAACGAAATAAATGTTATTATATTTAAATTACATTATTGTACTTAAATGCAAGTAAATTAAAAAATTGTGTAATTTCCAGCAGTTGGCTAATTATTATGTTTTTCACAAAATTTGATGTATAAAATTTAATACAGCGAACGCTTTTTAAAGAAAATCTGCAGTTGCCGATTAAAAAATAAAATTACGATCGTTGCTTTTGAGTTATTCCATCGTTCCTTTTTGGCTAAAATAACAAGTGAACAACAAGAAAGACAACTTATTTTTTAATTGATCTATTGGAGTGTGATGGTGTAACGGTGTGTATATGCCAAGATGTTGCCATATATGTGCATCGTCTATTTACTAAGCGATGGATAATGTAATCGTGTTTGATTTGCAATTTACGCGGAGGCGGTTACCGCGCGCAGGAGGCATGTTTCGTAACCAAACAAACTGCCGGCATCGGCATGGCCGTGTCGGCGTTTTGCTAGGTATAATTATCATATTAACTACATATGTTGCGGTAATTCCATCCATCAAAAAACATTAGAAACCACAGCGGCCTGGATACGCGGTTAAAGCGGCTGCCTAATTTAAAGCTTGATTGACGCCAGCAACGGTGTAACAAAAAAAACCAGTTATGAACGTAATCAATGGCAAAGAAAAAGAGCGCTAATTAAAGCAGCTTTTTGAACTAGCAACGCAGACGTCATGTCCTTAGTTAAACGGTTTCTGCTTTCTTTTCCAGTAATACGAGTGTATTAAGTTAACAGTGTTTTACTGAAAAATCAAGAAAATGTTATATTTGCAGGAAATCAGGATATTGTGGAAGGGAACCTGAAGCTGATATTGGGATTAGTATGGACGCTGATTCTGCGCTATCAGATCGGCAAGACGAACCTACCGCCCAGGAAGCTGATGCTGGCCTGGCTGCAAGCGGTGCTGCACGACATGAAGATCAAGAATTTCACACGTGACTGGAACGATGGTATCGCCCTCAGGTGCGCATCACATTCATTTGCAGTCTGGGCGTCTTTCGTGACAACAATTGTCAATTAATTCTACTGGTTAAAATTCTTGTGAAGAATGGTATTTGTACACCTTTCACATTTAAATATTTTATGCCACACGTTGGACTCCATATAGTCATCCTGTTTATAAGAAATCAATTTTTTAAAACGCAAAGTTAATTCGTTTATGAAACTGGACGCGCGGGAAACTGCAGGCTTTTTTGCTTAATTTGTTAGTTTGAAGAAACATTCTGAGAATTGTGTGATAATCACATAATTACAGTGGCTTGCTTGAATACTGCCGGCCGGGTTTGTTTCCGAACTGGAAAAGTCTGGATCCGCATAACAAAGTGGAAAACCTGCGGCGGGCCATGGAAGTGGCCAACCGGGAATTCGGCATTCCCATGCTCATCTCGCCCGAGGATCTGGCCAGTCCCGATCTGGATGAACTGTCGGGCATGACCTACCTGTCCTACTTTATGAACAGTCCCGAGAGTCCCGGCTACAAGGCCACCCTACGCTGGGTGCGCAGTCAGATCCCCGAGGAGAATGTCGAGAACTTTACGGTAACTCTTTAACAAAATTCCGTTTTCGTGTTGGGATTTTTTGAACTGACCGAAAACCATATGGGGAACGCTTAATCGCAATGCTTCGCTCATCCACCAAGTAACATGTATCGGAAAATATTTTTAGATGGACTGGAATGATGGGCGTGTAGTGGGAGCGCTGGTGAAATCACTGGGTGGAACAGTTTCCGGATACACAACACAGACGTATGACCGCTACAACTGGGAGGATAACTTACAACGTGGTACGTATGCGGGCGCCCTCTTTATTTTTCCGACTAAAGAAAAAACGGAAAAGTAATAAAACGGAAAAATTCTTAACCCATCCAAAGTAGCCCATTTTTAACCCATCCCCTGTTTTGTAGGAGGATAGGCTTATTAGTAGCCCAGCAAAACCTTAATCTACAGCAAAAGTGTCCATTATAATTAGTTCTTTCGAATTACGAGTAGAAGTAGTTCTTTTGAAAACAAAACCTCGAAATCTTACGCAAACATGCGAAAATTGTAATTACTAGCTTGGTTGAAGACAGTAAATCTGTGAAAGGTACTGCGATGCATTCTCCAAGTAGCAATGATTGTGCGTTTGTGAAAGGAAACCGATTCGATTCCGTGGTGGAGATGCTCAGCACGGTCGTTCGCGACGCCGTCCACTTCCTGGGAAGTGTGCTATGGGACTCCGCATTAACTGGCGCCAGTTCCGCTAAGCAAGCATTTAGTGCAGCCGTTGTGAAAGGTCATAGTGGCGCTGTTCTCGCTTCCCTCCCTAGTAGTAAACGGGATACGGGTAATGGCGATTTCGGTTGTTTTTTCACAATTTAGTAACGCGTTCGCTTAGTTGCTCGAACTGTTGATATGAAGATTATTAAAAAAGGTCATCGACACGACTGGTCATTCGTACACTTAGTAGTAAAGACAAATAAACCGTATAACGCGCCATTCAGCGAGGTACGATCGGAACAGGAAGAGTGTGATGGAGAACACCGTATGACATCCTCAGCTGATCAGTGTGTTAAATGCCATTGCAACCGTGCGATCAAATCGATGATTAATGATGTCCGTCATAGTTCGATTATTTTTAAAACTAACCGAATCGGCCATGTGTCACAACAGTGGAACTGTCTAAACGCTAAACGCTTAATTCACTGGTAAATGTCCCTTTAAGGCGTCCGTTAATACACTACTGACCATTGAGCACGTCAGTCAGCTGTCAGGCCGCGTTGATGGAGCGATCTTCCGCTGGTGTAATGGTGTTTTTCACGCTTCACTCTTGGCAGCTGGCCAAGTGGATATTACTCTCTACCTATAATTACTTTCAACCGCTAAATGCAGGAAATAATAGCACCGAGATGTTTTTGTACGAGCACTTATCAAAAGTCAAAAACAAAGGTCAGATCAACATTTTCGAGGAAAAACGGAGTCTTCGACATATTAGATTAGCCGATACAGAATGAAAACCCCTCTTTTCTGTGCAGGAAACCTTATCTCAACACTCTGTTATTAAATGTAAAGACAAGCTAGATACGCAACTGAAATATCTGACTTCTATCAGTTTATGATTTGAAGCACAAGCTGACAGTTTAAAACGTCGGAAAGCTTTCTTAACTGACGAGAAAATTAATTGCTCATTTTCGGATTACAGGTTTCAAAGGAGGTCGCGAACTGGGCGTAGAACCCATTCTCACTCCGAAACAAATGGCGGAGGCCGTGGATGAACACTTGGGCATCATGGCGTACGCTGCCTGGTTCCAGTGGGTCAATCCGCTGCCGAAACGCAAAGGCGGAGACAAGATCCGTGTCTCCGGCGAGGGTCTTCACACCGCCTACATTGGGAAACCGGTAAACTACTCCTGTTTCTCGGATCTCATGCATCTGTCTCACGTGTGTTTACTGTGCAGGCCCACTTTCAAGTCCAGTACCTTGATGATCTGGATCCCGCCACCATCCGCGCGGAACTGCGCGGACCCAGTGGCACGATCCCGGTGAAGTTCAACCTGGGAGAGAACGGCGGCAGTGCTACTTACATGGCAACAGAGACCGGTCCGCACGAGTTGCTGATCTGGTGCGAAGGGGAGCTGATTAAGGAGTGCCCGCGGAAAGTGCGCGTGCATCCCGATATCTCCAAGGTCCGATTTGCCGGGATTAATAAGCCGGTACCACTGGGCTCCACGACGGACATGACGGTAAGCAAAGTGACCCTATCGGTTCTTAAACGCGTGACTATCAGTCTTGCGCGCTGTAACAAATTTTCCCATTGACCGTCTGGAAAATGCCAAAAAAGCTTATTGCTGCGAAAGCAATTTGAGCCCAACGAAAGTGAATACCCGTAGGCCGAAACAAGTGTGTTTTCCTGGCTCATCTGGATCTTCTGATTGATATGTCACACCTTTCTTTGATTTTCTGTTGTCCGATGAGGACATAATAATAAAAATTTTTGAATTTTACTTTCAGAAAATTTTTTAATGTCATTGGTTAGTAGTTATGGTACCGTGCAAAATGCCTTGGACTCCTCTTATCAGAATATTTTCTTTGGAAGCGTTTTTCCAGCCAATCGACGATAATTTTCCTAGTGCTTTTGGGTTGCTTCAACCGATTCGTTACCGCTGTCACAACAACAAAATTTTATCCGATATTTTCAAATACGCCTTTAGTAGATGCCACTTAACGTTTTCGCACAGAAAGGCTGTGTGGAAGTTCGTTCTTGCCTCATGGACGGGTGAACGCTTAATTAGCAATTAAATTCCAAAAATCTGTAGCAGCTTACTAGACCACAGCGCGCTACGCCGCGACATAGCGGCTATAGCCATCACAGTACACTTGAAAAAAACGAAAAATCTTGATTCTTATGATTAAGGTTTTTCAGTTTTGCACCATGAGTTGTCCGTGTGCAGGGTATGTTATGCAGATGCAGGCAGACTTAAGCGGCATAATGACCTTCCCACAAGTAGTCGACTAGGAGGATTAAAAATATACTCCAGTGTCCAGGGGCCACCCAACCTGAACGCCACACAAAATCGTAACGCTGCGTTCCGGGCTCATCAGCTTTCTTCCCAATTAATAAAACACCCCTTTCTTTGATTTTCTACAGTCCGATCAGGACTTCAAAAAAGATTTTTTGGAATTTACTTTTCCGCAGCTTTCTGACCATTGCTATGGTCTGGCCGCTCTTGGCAGACCATTAGGGCGCAAATGGTAACGTCTGTGTCCGATTCTCGCCGACCACCTCTCCTTATCAAAGTTTCTTTAGAAGCTCTCCCCAGCCAACTTCCGTTCGGCATTTCCAGTAGTGTTGGCGCGCCTCAACCAATCCGTGATTGTAACCGTTTTAATACAATATTCTCCAGCATTTTCAAATACGACTTTATCAGATCTCCCCCATAGATTACGCGGACAAAGCCGCTGTAGAAGTCCGTCTATTTGCACGGCATTCCACACGCGTTTGTACGCTCCACTCATCGGCATGTCTTGGCTCGGCATCCTGTGTGTGTAGTGCGCACAATCACGCATTCTTGTGCCGTTGACAATCACTTTACGCGACAATATCTTTAAACTTTATTGGCCATCGCGCCGCGGCAGTCGCGCAGCAACATCTGTCAGTTGTGTTCAGTACACCTTGGAGGAGTTTAATTTTCTCGAATGGTAATTAAAGTACCACGATACCCCATTTCTCTATGTTTGTGTAGGTGAACTCCAACGGGGCGGGACGCGGTGAACTCGCCGTGGAGGCACGCTCACCAACCGGTCGCAGCATGAAATGTCCTGTCAGTGAGCATAATGGCAATTATACTGCCAAGTTCCAGCCCGATGAAGTCGGTAAGTCGGCTTGTCATAATTAACATATCGAAACCAGCGCGCAGCAATTGTTACAGCTTAAATTGAGGCACTTGTACGGTCCTCAGCGTGCAGCTTTGTCGTCCGACCACTTTGAACTTGAGATTTGCATACGACCGTTGCAAATTGTCGTCCAAGACGCCAGCTCATGTTACACTTTCATTATTCATTCGTAAAATGTTATTTTGTTATGGGGACTGAACCTACTTAACGGTACGTATCCGTCAGAATGGAAATCGAGTTCACTGTGATGTTGCGCGCGGACGTTACACGAGAGAGTTTTAAAAATAATCGGATTTTAATTGTCATGCACGGTCTGCGTGTGATGACAAATTACGGGCATTAGCGTGATACCAGCAACACAGCGTCCGTGCTTGATTATGTGTGAACAGCGCAACCGATCGCCGGTTACAGTTGTTGAGAGAGAACAGTTTCCCTCCACTCAACCACATCTCAGCGTCTGTTGGATGCAACGATATGCGCTCGCTAGTGTAGTCGATTCTCAGCTACTGTCCAATAAGCGCCAAAAAGCAGTTAACGGCTAACTTTTAAAACCGGTTTTGCGGCTATAGCCGGTTGAAATGGAAGAACAGATGACATGCTACATAGTAAACGGTTATCAGTTATCTCATTGATCGCTCACGCTTTAAGCCAACGGCCAGAACTCCAGCGTTAACAGATTTTTGTCTTTGGTTAAATGCGTACGCGCTTCGCTACCCATCGCAACACTTAACGAGCACGTACATGTATCCAACTACGGGGGAAACGCGTGCAACCGGAAACCGGCCGGTTTAATACATGTACGATCGTAAAGATAACCCACCCACCAAATGACAACCGTCCGAATAGCCATTATCCGCTACACAGCTGGGAAACTGCAGTGCACTTGAATTAGACCATCGCGCGTTATACTAGTGTTAATGGAGAGCTTTCCGTGAATGCATGCAGTACAGAGTTGAATGTATCGGGCACAGGTGAATGGCACATTGGCATCACCTACGACGGCAGCCACATCAAGGGTAGCCCCTTCACCTGCAGCGTCTTCGATCCCAACGCCGTCAAAGTGTCGGGCCTCGATGTGGGCGTGGTGGGGCAGGATATGGACTTTGCGGTGGATACTTCGCGGGCGGGCCAAGGCGAGGCCAGCGTGGAGATCTTCTATCAGGGCCGCAATGTCCCGGCACGGATTGATCAGCTGGGCGGCGGCATGTACAAGGTGACGTTTACGCCGCACGGACCGGGACTCTATACCATACATGTCTATTTCAACGGGATGGAAGTCAGAGGTAAGCGTCACGTGATTACTACTATTTTAGTAAATTTATTGAGCATCTTGGCGACATTATTATCTCGGCAACAAAGTGTAGTGCTGGCGTATAACGGTAAAAGAAAGCACTTAACTGCGTAAACTTCATCTGAACGGTTTATTCGGCTCGGATTATTTCAGTTACGCCAAAACCTTATTTCTGAGAAATAATTTTTTTGATCGCGAATCAATTTTGTGTGGATAATATTTTGCCCTTCCCGGCAATCATCCGAAAATCGTGTTTATACAATAATTTTCAGATCTTCGAGCAAACTAAAAAAGTAGTGCTCATGTTTTTGTTAATACGATACCGTTCTGTGAAGTCTCCGCATCTTGAAATATTTTTATTGAATCTCAGCCAGTTAAACAGTCTGCAGAGTTCGAAACTGTTTTAATTGCTTTTTGTTTGGAAAGCTATCACATTGTTATAGACATAGTTGTACGCATCTGATCATTTAATTACCAGCATTAATACGGCCAGGTATTATTACAATTGCATAATCTGCAAATAATCATTTCCACGCCACGGTCTGACAATGTCACCCGAGATGGCTAGGACAACAAGCACCGGCCATTGTTCCCATTCTGATTGTGTGCAATAATGCCGTGATGTATGCCGGCGTTGACTGCATTAGCCGGGCCGGGAAGCCACCGCTGGCCATTGTTGGCCGGTTGCATCATTCCGCTGACGGCTGTCAAACCGCACTCAGCCAAAACATCATGCTTCACTGGCCGGCACTGTATTCGCTTGCCGATTGTGCTTTGTGGGATAATAAGCAACAGGCTGCAAAACCATTACAAACGGCCATCTGACTTTGGAAAATAGCGAAGCGATTTCATAACGGATTACATATTTGCATACGCTATTCAAGGTTACACAATAATACTCGTTCATTATTAATTATAATTTTGAATTCTGCAGTAAATAAAGAAAATACCCTTCTGTTGAATATATTTGTATTTAAAAATTTGCTAGCCGGTTCGATTGGAAATAAATAAAACATTGTTTTATCTTTTTATAGGAAGAAACTGTTTCTTTTAACGGCTGTTTAAAATAAGTCCATTTTTGAACTATAAATTTTTAATAAATTTATCCGGGTTATAAGAAGAAACGCTGTTGTCATAATAAGGAACAAATAAAACTTGAAGATCAAAGTTACTAAGATGTTCGAGCATCTCTTTATGATCAAGAAACCCAAAGAAGTGTGTGTTCGTTATCAGCTGGCACAAACACTCAAGTGTACGGAAATACATAAATCACAACGTAAGCACTAGTCAGTTCAAACGTTTTTAATTCCACTGCGCCAAGTGTTATTTATTGCTGCTGATGTTTGTATTACGGCCATAGTTGTCGCATTCCCGCTGCAGTGCAGCGGAAATTGGACTTCCGCTGTTATTATTGACAGAGAAAATGTCTGACATTCTCGCGAGCATCCGTTGACACCATCGTCATTTCTCGATCATTTTACAGGCTCCCCCTTCACCATCGAGATCTTCGACACCTCCACCGTCTCAGCATCCGGCGAAGGCCTCAAACTCGTCCCGGTCCAGCGGCCGGCCTTCTTCGCGATTAATACCAAAGGCGCCACCAGTAAGGATCTCCAGGTTAATGTCAGCGGGCCCTCGGGGCGATCACTTCCGGTGCAGATTCTGGAGGTGCGGCCCGGGGCGTACAAAGCGGAGTACACGCCGGTGGAGGTCGGCGAACACTCCATCGATATTGCCTTCTTCGATAAGGCCATTCGCGGGAGCCCGTTCAAGTGCTACGCGTATGATGCCAGGATGATTCGGGTCGGGAAGATCCCCAATGGGTGGGTCGGTCGACCTGTGGAATTCGAGAGTACGTGAACAAAAACAGCAATAATAATAATTTAGCTATTATTAAAATTATTGCTTTTTATGAATTTAATTAAATAAGTTAATTGTGCCGGGTTTCGTTATGCCAAATTGCCCTGAAATGAGTGAAATCTTAAGATTGATCCTTTATACAAATAATATCTATTATAATGTACGCTTGAAAAAATTGGGTAAAAGTCAAAACCATGCACAAAACTTAACAAACAAGATTATTATTATTTTATTGGCTGTGGTCGTGTTATAGTAATATTTCAATGCTAAATACTCGGCGAAGTACATCAGCGTTGCATAAATAGTACCGGTAATCGTAGAACAGTGGCACATATGATCGTCGTGTCACGAACGTGCTTCTTCAGTACTTGTATGTTTCTTAACTCTGAAATATTAAATCTGGTTGTTTATTTCAAAGAAGTTTTTTTGTTGAGAATGAAGTTGAGTGTGTCGATTGGTCCTAATTGTAATTTTTAGATTCGAGGAATTTTTAAACGCAGAATCGCAATCGATTTCTGGTTCAATCTGTTAATGCAATTTATTTCGTTTGCGTAATTATAAGTCTGAATCCCAAACACGAAACGGATTCATCGCATTCCGGTTGTTTTTGCGGCATATAGTTGATGGCTCGCAAGCCGGTTCCGGCAACCTGGAGATCCTAGTCAATGGCGGCCGCGTGGTCAGCCACGTGAAATCTCTGGGGAACCAGCGCTTCCTGGCCAGCTTCACACCCCTGGACGCCATGACGCACGTGGTGGAGATGCGCTTCAACGGGGAGACGGTGGTGGGCAGTCCCTGGAATGTCCAGATCTGGGATCCCCGCAACGTCACCGCCCGCGACATCCCCAAACACTTCCAGGTCAACCGCACCACCGGCTTCGAGATCAACGCCAGCAATGTCGGACCCGGCGATCTCAAGGTGGAAGTCAAAGGTGCGTTTCCGGCAACACTTGTTACCAACAAGTGGCAATTGCACCTCTTGGCAGTTAATTATGATATTTACTTTAATTCTTAAATATTCGCTCAAATATATTACGGAAAATAGTAGCGGAATTCGTTCCAGCGAAAATAATTGTTTTACACTGTATGACTAAGGCGCATATGAGAAAAAAAACTTGAGTTCGGTTTTTTTACGGTAAAAAACTTCTTAAAGAACGTTATTCAGTGTACTGCATAACATGCCTACGGTTTAAAGAGGCCATCGCTCATTTGCTCTACCACCATATGTGTGAGCCGCTGCACTACAATTTCTAGCGTTGGTATATGTGCATTTCTTCGTAGCAGTTTTAATCGTTCGTACAGTCGATTCAGCGAATGCGTCCGGAATCGCACTGGAAGCGCGATTACTGCAGTTATTTTACGAAATATTGTACTTTTTTCCGTACCTCCACATAAAAAATTAATGAGGAATGGATTTAATATTACTGTACACGTATAACACGGTAAATGTTTAGATTAAAAATAGATTAAAATTAGTGAAGGTTGGGTATATCGGATGCACTAAAATGTAAAGTTTTTAAGTAGCATTTAACGCTGTGAAAAGACTGCTTTTGATAAGTCACTTACGATGAAATGCTTTTCTTGTTTTTGGCATTTCTGCTACTTAATGACCGGCGTGTATGAAAAGGTGTTTTTCTCCCCACAGCGCCGTCAATGCGGACCATTAGCTCATACACCAGCGAAACCCGAACCGGCGTCTACCGCTGTGAATTCACCTCCAGTGAAATCGGTGAGTGCTGCTGCTGTTTGCGGTGTTTTTCGTTTCATTATCACTGGGGCGTATACTTCAGCATCCCCATCAGCAATCTCCATGCCAATCTCGATTACTTTGCAATAGCGCATATACGGTTTACGTGAAAAGCGGCAATTTAATCGCGACGTTGCGGCTGTGGATGACAGTTGTGTAATGCGCAAAACGGAATACATTACACGCTGATGGAGGCGGATGGGTTGGTGATGCAGTAATAATAACGGCGCTGTTTCATTTCAGGATCGCATTCCATCGAGATATCGTATGCCGATACGAAGATAACCGGTTCGCCCTTCATCAGTAAAGGCTTCGACGCCACCAAGATCAAGATTTCCAAAATTACCAATGCCTTTGTCGGCATACCGGTACAATTTCAAGGTACGCCTAAAAATATAATTTTAATCAAATTTTATTACTTCTTTTACCATAAATCACAAATTAATTTCTGTTTTTAATTGGTTACTGCTGTAAAAATTTTTTAATGTTTTTTGGGAGGTGCTGTCAATTTTCTCGGCTTTTACATTAGTTTACTTTCGATAGTTTGTAATTGCTATTCACGCCATTTCAGATTTTGCTATATTTTGACGGAAATGTGTTGTTATAAGTATTTGTCAGATTTATTTGCGTTCATGTTATTTACCATTTGCTTAAGACTGGAAGCCAGTTAAAATTTGTATTAAAATAATTAATTTCTAATTTGTAGTGGATGCATCGCAAGCCGGGGAAGGCCAACTGGAGATCTCCATCAACAACGGCCGCGTCCCCAATAAAGTGGACGTGCTGGGCGGCGGGAAGTGTCTGGTGACCTTTACCCCGCAGAACACCCAGCCGCACTACATCGACGTCAAATTCAACAGCGAACCGGTGCCGGGCTGTCCGGTGCAGTGCAATGTCTTCGACACCAGCCGCATCTCCGCGTCCGGCAAAGGTCTGGAGAGAGTGCGCGTGGGCACGCCGGAGACGTTCACCGTCAATACGGCTGGAGCGGGCGAGGCGGAACTCATCGTTACTATCAACTGTAAGAAACCAACATCCTCCATAAACGAAACGAATGTTTAATATGATTTTATTAAGGCGTTCTTGGTGGCTAATTAAAACGAGTGTTTTTTAGCTCCCAGCAATCGGCAAGTGCGCAGCCGTATCTCGACGGTGTCGCACGTGGGCTACGAGGTGGAATGGACGGCGCAGGAAGTGGGCACCCACATGGTCAGCATGGAGTACGCCGGGCAGATGGTCGGACAGGGTCCGCAGCCGGTCAAGGCCTACGACCCCACCAAAGTCAAAGTCTCCGATCTCAAGCCGGGTTTCGTCGGCAAGCCGGTCACCTTCACCAGTACGTATACATACACATTTCTTATTTAACTGACATATATAAATATACAGATACATAACAGAATTTAAAAACTGAAATCGTCCAGGCTTCCGAAATCGTTCGCGCTTCCGACATCATGAATAAAGTGTAGGAGACAATCGCAAGGGAAAAATAAAGGCTGTTTAATATTTATTGTTAAAAAAAGTTGTTTTCTAAAGGACAATATTAATTTTATCTTCTGCGTAATGTGTCCGTGGTTTAGAACGCATCTATGAATGCCCTTATGACACTTCACTACAGTTTTGCAGTATAAGTTCATGTGTAGTTCTTCGTATTCTTTGAGTTATAGCAGAGTCATGCTTCCTAAATGGCCTGGGAAAAGCGATTATTGCACTAGTTATTGCGATCACTGCGTATTGAAGCTAAATGATATGATGAACAAACAGTGGTGAACAACAGGAACATATCCAATACGAAAATCGCTGATATTCTGTCTTTAGCGAAGAGGCGCTTTTTTGCGCAGTATGCGTTAAAGCGCATCGACGACATCTTTTAGTCGTATCTGTACAATATAATTCCGTGCATTTTCACCGCATATGTAGCGATCTGTTTTCCAGTTGACGCCAGCGAAGCCGGTGAGGGCAGCGTGGAGATCGTCGTCACCGACATCCACCACCGGCACGTGGCCACCCGCGTGGAGCAGCTGAGCACGGCGCGCTACCAAATCAGTTTTGTCGCACAAGAAGCGGGTCACCACAGCATCGAGGTGACGTTCAACCAGGACCCGGTGCCGGGGACGCCCTTCGGCGTGGACGTGATGGACGCCTCCAAAGTGCAGGTGGTCGGCGAGGGCCTGCGGATCGCGCAGGTCCGGCAGGTGGCCACGTTCAATGTGATTACCAAGGGCGCCGGTAGTGAGGCCGTCGAGGTCACTATTGAGGGGCCGGACGGGCGGCGCATCCCGGCGCGGGTGCTGGATAATCAGGATCAGACGTACAAAGTGGAATATGTTGCTCAAATGGCCGGTAAGTACAACTGTGCAGTATAATTAAAAAAGATTTTATACACATTTTTTTGTGAATTTAGGTGAACACCGGATTACGGTGACCTACGGCGGAATGAAAGCCGGACAGTCGCCTTATGTCGCGAAAGCTTTCGATGTCAGTGCAATTCGAGTCGGAGATATTCCCGATGGAATCGTGGGCAAACCTGTGACTTTTACGGGTAAATATGAAGCTTTGAAACCCAATAATTTGTTTTTTTGGATACAAAGTATTTGCGTCATTTAATTTTTTATTCCATTAAATTTTTTTCTTATTCCTGTTATTATTTTTTATTTCCTTTCCTTTTTTTAATGTTTTGTTTTTTTTATTAAACTTTATTTATTTAAAGTGCAATACTTTTTTTATAATATTTCATATGTCTTTTAGTTTTTTTATTGCATAATTTTAATGGAAGACTAAGCCGGTTAATTTATTATGATGGATACAAATATTTGTTTCGTTTCAATGTAATGCAGTGGACGCCAGCCAAGCCGGCACGGGCAACCTGGAAGTGGCCGTCAACAACGGCCGCGTGCAGACCACAGCGGAATCCCTCGGGAACAACCGCTACGCCATCACCTTTACGCCGCGAAGCACGGAGACCCACATGATCGAGCTGAAATTCAACGGCATCACCGTGCCCGGCAGCCCCTTCCGCTGCAACATCATCGACGCCAGCCGGGTGGTGGCCATGGGCGACGGCCTGGAGCGCGTGCCCATCAACAAACCGGCCTGGTTCACCGTGGATCCCCGTGGTTCCGGACCGGCCGAGTGCGAGGTGACGGTGACGGCGCCCAGCGGGAAGAAGGTGCCGGTGCGCATCAGCGGCTCACATGCCTCCACTTTCCGGGTAAGTGTTGACTGTCGGTTGCGGGTCGAAGGTGAAACGGGGTTGTGATAACTTGTTGGTGTGAGTGTAGGCGGAGTACACGCCCACGGAAGTCGGAGACCACTTGATTGAAGTGACGTACGCCGCGCAGCCCATCCAAGGCAGTCCGTTCGTCTGCCGTGTCTACGATCCCGACCGGGTCACCGTCACGCAGACTAAGACGGGCATCGTGGGAAAACCCGTCAGTTTTCATGGTGAGTTTTTGGTTTTTGTTGTTATTATAAAAAAACAGCTAGTTTTTTTTAGCCTCTTTAGGTATTTTTCTTAGGTTTGCTTCAGGTTTTCTTTGTGCCACGTTATCGAGAGAACAGAAACTAGTGTTATCAATGTGTTACCAATATGATGCTTCTACTCGTATAAGGAAAAAACGTAGTGTAATGGAGGCCGGAGCAAACTGTTTGCAACTCGGTTCAGCTTTAGCATGACATTTTCAATGCGATACTGACGAATAAACAAATAATTTTCTCTAGGTTTCGATCATAGATTTTTTTCTTGGGTTTTTTCTCTAGGTCTATTTCTTGAGCTAGGATTTAGTGAACAAATTTAAAATAAAACAAACTGCATTTTCATTCTTGGTAATAAAATATCCCTTTTTCACGCTGCGTCTTATGAATTTAATATTATGATCTCTTTGTTTCTTGAATTTCTTTCTTAGTTAAGCTTGGTATGTCAATATTGCTTTGAAACTGTGCCCGTATTTATATGTATTCTCTTTGTTTTTTTCGTACTTTTTTAAATTAAATATTGTCAGACTTTTCGGCTCTCATAGCTAATTGTTCTTCACTTCAGTTTAATTTGCATGTAGTGATGTTCTTCGCATGATTTCGTGCATTATTAATTGCATTTTACGCTTTACGACAAATATTCGCTCCGTGACCTTTTAACTTTTATTACGATGTGTAGAAAATAAGCTTCTGATATTTGGGAATTTTTTTAACCGTGTGTTTCCGCAGTGGATGCCAGTCAAGCCGGTGCCGGCAATTTAGAGATCGTCGTCCATTGCAACGGCAAGAACGTACCGAATTTCGTCCAGGCCGAGGGCAACGCCAAATTCAAAGTCAGCTTCACCCCGCAGGAAGCCGCCCCCACCAGATCCGTGTCCGCTTTAACAACCACGTGGTGCCAGGTATGCCGCCGCTAATCAATTGAGCAAACAGGCGTCGTCTTATCAGATATATCAGATAATAAAGTTATGACAAATATGTAATGGATCGGTATAAACAGGCACGCCGTACGACTGTGAAATCATCGACGGCAGCCGGTGTACGGCGTCGGGTGATGGGCTGCGATTGGCGCCCGTCAATAAGCCGGCTTACTTTATTGTTGATCCGCGTGGAGCGGGAGCGGCCGAATTGAAAATCACCATTACAGGTAAGGAAATGTACTGTCGAAGTAACGGACAGAACGGAAGCCGGGTAGCGGTTTTACGGCATTCCGGAGTTTATTAGTATTTTAGTGATTTTAGTGAAATGTTACGGCTTCCGGACAGGTTTACGGTTTCCGGTTGAAAACTTTATTGTGGGCAAATAAAAGCCGTAAAATTTTAATATGTCGAAGGGTTCAAATAACGGTTTTGTGCAACGTATTCGAAAGAACAGAAACATGTAGTTTGATACGAATAGAATACTCATAATTTTACTGAAAAACGTAGTGTAATGGAACAAACCCGGCGGTGTGGGACGGTTGTACATGGGGTTAACTTACGACTGTGATAGTATCAGCATGTTAAACAAATTTTTATAAATTCGAAAAAACGTATGGCTTCCGGACAGTTTTATGATTTCCGGTACAGATTTTTATTATCGGGAAAGAGAAACTGTAAAATTTTAGAGCTGGCTGCTTCTTTAAACAACGGTTTCGTACAGCGTAATCGGGAGAGCAGAAACCGGTGCTTTTAATGTGATACGAATAAGATGCTCATATACGGAAGCAACGTAGTATAGTGGAGCAAACCTTCTGACACGTCAGTCCTGTTCTGTTATTATAAGCTTAAACGAAAAATAAGTTTCGTATGCGATGCAGTCAGAATATTAAGCAAATTTGTTTTCAAATCGAGAAAAATCACTGCTTCAGGACATGTTTACGATTTCCGGTTTTAAACTTTTATAATCGGCAAATAAAACCTGTAAATTCATTCGGTTGCCTAACGTCTGGCTGCATGTTTAAATAACGGTTTCATACAGCGTAATGAGGAGACGCTGTTAATGTTAATGTGATGCAAACAAGCTGATCATATACGGAGAAAACGTAGTGTAATGGAGCAGACAAATGGACAGTTCATTAAGTACTGTGTTCTATTAGTATATCATCCGAATGTGATGTTGCAGTTTCAAGCAAATGTGTTTAGGATTGAGAAAAATTTTTACAGCATCTCAATAAACAATTCTACAAGAAATATGTGAGCATCTTAACAAGACGATTTTATGGTAAAAGTGCAACCGTGACGATTACATCATCGAGTCCGGTCGATCACTCGAGAGCCGGCGTACGTTTGCATACAGCGGTGTAAATGGGGTGCCAGCCTCTACGAATGACACATGTCCAAGGCTAATGGGGGGTCTCGATGGTGCTTATTGTGCGTAATCCCTGACCTTCCATCCTGGCCAGTACTGACACCTAATCGCCGCAGCGTACCGGCTAATCTCCGTCGTCCACTACGGCTGTTTATCTCCCTTGCGTCAAGCGCGCCGATTCCGCTTGAGAACCTGTTGTGTCTGCTACGCTCGTTGGTATATGTTTTCTGCTGACCAACGTGTAAGGTGAAACGGTGCAAGTGCACAATCACATGTCTTGTTAATGCTAAAGAAGAAAGAGGGGGAGTCCTTAACACCGAAACACCGCTACGCACCAGCGGAACGGCACAGTCGGTATAGTTTACTTTAGCTCGCCTGCTCTGCTGACGCGACACACCGGCCAAGTGGTGCGGTAATATGCTGGATAGGCGCGTTAAAGAGGAAAGCAACGTTATTGCGGTAAACATGCTGAAAACTCCGCCTCAACGGCTGAAGACAGATCTCTTTGTAGCTTGCTATAACGGCCGGTTGAGAACCGGCAAACTGACCACTGACCACCGTTCAACAAACATTCTCTACCGGTTTCCTTATATGTCCAAAGCAACAATGAAAAAGCTACATTTTTTCGCCGCATCTGCTATGGAAACGCGGCGAATCGGTTATTTTAAAAACCATGCGGATTTTCGAACTAAGCTTTATTATTTTATTCAGTTTTTTAAATCAAATTATGCGGTAAAACAGTTTGTTATGTTTTTTTCTCGCAAAGAAAATAACTCCATTATAAGCATTAAACACAGAACAAAATACGAGTATATTAAAATTATTTTTAAAAAGCCGCAGTTTAATACTGTGCCGGCATCACGGCGGTGATTGACCAGACGGTTCGCTGACCGGCCGAACCGCACGGCAGCCGAACCGGTCTCTCTTTGTTACACCGCTTAACTGCGGAAATTAGCGTTCTAAACCGGCGCTCACGCATGTATAACATTTCGGCGCACTATAACGGAAATTTACACCTGGTAAACATTAGCACCCCTTTCTGATTCATCGCGTCAGTTCAACAACACCACCACATTGTTATCGGCTGCGAGTATACACCGCATTATGCCTTCACAACACCGGCATTAAAATTCTCCCTTGTTGCCATATTCCATCACATTCCAATCGACGATACTGTTATTCGGCCGCTGTTTGCCCATTATTCAACCGGGCCATTCTTCGCATCATGTTGTGGTTCGCTTATTAAAACACACCGCTCTTTCTCCCCGTTGTACGTACGTGATTAACGCAGCGTCGGGGGAAAAACATACACCATCTCCCCGCGATCATGCCCACCCAGCAGATTCGATTGAAATTCGTCGCTGACGTGCTGCGCCGCTTCACTTCCCACGCTGCCAGTGCACAACCGGATTATCACGACACCAGTTGGGAATTCTCGGATTATACGAAAGCCAATATGCCGCATCCGCTGCACGTCGCCCACCGACGTCCCCCGCCGCCCCCACCCCCGCGGGGGCGCGATGTATCCTCGGGTTACGAGGAAGCGGTGGTGTTTCTCAGTGAGGAGCACTCCATGGTGACGATCAGCCGCAGTTCGAATTATTCCGGGTCCAGTGGCTTCCACGATGAGGAGCTGTTCCCCAGTCAGGCGGCCACCGGCGCCATCATCTGGTGTGAAGTGGACACGCACGGCCAGTATGCCGGACCGGTGGTGGTGCGCGTGCGACGTAAGATTACCGCTAACCGCGGGGAGTGACGGCCGCCGGCAGATTACCGAGATTAGATAGATGCGGTCAAGTGGCCGGTGTTTAGCGTTTTCTTTGGTATGATTAGCATTATGAGTAACCGTAATAGCGCGGCTAAATGATGATCAGTGGAGGGTGCTTGAGGATGGGGTTGGAGGAGTTCAAGATGGTTCAGTCGCAATGGTGGTAAATCTATTGCGACTCTTATCGCTCACGCAGAACTCTACCGGAAATTATTAGGAAGTTGGTTAATTTTTGATAACCGGTATTTTTAGTGTTATGTAGTACAGTTGAGGTACTGGTTTTATAAGGAATTTTTTATTAATAGAAGACATACTCTAGAAATCTTGGAAGAGTTTAGAAGTGTTGGGTTACGACATCGTTATGTCAGTTGATGATCTGTGTTTTATCAGTGGAAGTAGTCGCGATTACACAACGGCGACAACTTGTCAGGTGTTCTGTTTATTCGCGTGTTGCGTGTGATGGATCACTCGTTCCACACTTTCTTAAATGCAGAAATACGCGGCGCGTCCCAGCCCGAACAAAGGCGCATTCAGTACAGGACTGTAGTAGCTGTTTTTTAATATCTTTGTAAATTATACTTCTCATAAAAAATAAAATTAATTGTTCAAAATTATATGAGTACTGTAATCGGATACTGATTACTACGCAATAATTCGGTACGTCTCACTCAGATTAAATTATGATTATTCCGGTCTGTGGTTTGTGTAAAATCACAGCGTAATGAGCATCAGCTTATTCGTATCACAATAACGCGTATGTGTTAACCATCAGCAGCGATTAATCGCATGACTGGGATCCTTCGGCATTTTACATAAGGCCAGCCGATAAGCCGCGGCTTATCCACTACATACATTTTATTGACAGTCTCCAAGGTTTCCGTCCACATGCGCGTTAGATCATCAGGCTGATGATATAGAATAACACCTGACAGTGCATGTTTAGCATCTCCGATGACATGGTGTACCTGTGGTGGAAAAGTGCTGACAGCGGTGCTAATTTCGGTGGTGTTTTGCAGCCCCATCGGGCAAGACGGTGCCGGTCAGCGTAACGGGATCAGCACAAAGTAAGTTCCGCGCTGAATATGTGCCGACGGAGGTGGGACCCCACACCATCACGGTGCTGTACGCCGAGACGCCCATTTCCGGCAGTCCCTTCACGTGCAATGTCTACGACGCGTCGCGGATTAAGGTCAGCCCTATCGGGCACGGGATTGTGGGCCGACCAGTCAAATTTCAAGGTACACCGGCCTGTATGGAATTTTTACTTGATTTAAACGCTACAAAACGTTTAAAAGTCGGTAAATTTTAAATGCAATTAAATTTATCACGTGGTAATAACGAGTATCTACTATCTACTGTATTGTACATACGGTAGATACTTATGCAAGTAATGTTTCTCCGTAATTTACGTGTAGTTTTAGAGTCGCATTAATATTGTGGTTGTACGCAGTTGATGCCAGCACCGCCGGCGAAGGCAAGCTGGACGTGAACGTCACCTGCAACGGCCAGGAAGTCCGTGCCGACATTGCCCCCGTCGGACGCGGCCGCTACGAAGTCACATTCGTCCCACGCGAGGTCTCCACGCACTTCATCGATGTCCAGTTCAACGACACTCAAGTTGACGGTACAGCATTTCTACGAACTTTTTAACTGATTTCTCTATAAAAGAATCCACTTGATTTAAACGGTATTTCACAAAACGAAAATGAAAAAAATTTATGTACAAATTATAGTTGTGTATCCCGGGATAAAGGCAATGGATAGAAAATAAAATAACAAATCCAAAACACATGAATAAAACATAACTGTTGTATAAGTCTGGAATACTGTTAGTGGATAAAAAATATAGAAACTTGCCTTAAACTTCGTTGTCTTATTTAATAAAAATAAACTCTTGTAACACGCATTTTGACCGGTATCATACTCATATGTACAGGCGCCCCTTTCCGATGCGAAATCATCGACGGCAGCCGGTCCACCGCGGAAGGCGACGGTCTGCGCCGAGCCTGTGTCGGCGAAGTGGCCTGGTTCGAGATCGATCCCCGCGGTCCGCCTATCGCCGACGCCGACGCCAAGATCACCAGCCCTTCGGGGGCGCGCGTCCCCACCACGATGCGCAAGACCAGCCGCGGCACCTTCCGCTTCGAGTACACCCCGCAGGAGGTCGGACCCCATAAGATCGCCTGCAAGTACGCCGAGACGCCGCTGAACGGCAGCCCCTTTGTCTGCGAGGTCTTCGACCCGCGCAACATCCGGGTGGAGGAGCTAAAAGACGGGTTTGTCGGCAAGGAGTACACCTTCGCCGTGGACGCCTCCACCGTCGGCCAGGGCGAATTGGAAGTGGACGTCGAACCGGCCGGCGGACGGCCCATCAAACCCACCATCCAGCCGGTCGGGGCCGGGTTCTACGAAGTGACCTTTACCCCCCGTGACGCTGGACCCCACGGGATTAACGTCAAGTTCTCCAACCACGTGGTGCCCGGGTCCCCGTTCAAAATGAACGTCCACGACCCGTCGCAGTTCCGTGTGACCGGGGATGGCTTGAAGCGCGCCTGTGTCGGGGAGACCGCGTGGTTCGAGATCGAGACCCGTGGGCCGGTGACCGGCGAGATGGACATCAAGATCACCAGTCCCTCCGGGGCGCGGGTTAACACCACCATCACCAAGTCCCGCAGCGGTTTCCGGGTGGAGTACACACCCACCGAGGTCGGGGCTCACCGGATTTCGACAAAATACGCGGAAGTGAAGTTACAAGGCAGTCCTTTCATGTGCGACGTGTACGATCCCTCCAAGGTCAAAGTACGGGACATCACCGACGGATACGTTGGAAAAGAGTCCGTCTTCCGGGTGGACGCGTCCCAAGCCGGCGCCGGAGACGTCGACGTCACCATCGAGATGAACAGCCGCTCCATCAAACCCGCCGTGCGACCCTCCGGCAACGGCGTCTACGATGTGACCTTTACACCGCGGGATGTCGGCCAGCACGGCATCACCGTCAAATTCGCCAATCGTATCGTTCCCGGATCCCCGTTCAAGATGAACGTCCTGGACCCGAGTCAGATGAAAGCCACCGGCGACGGACTGAAACGAGCATGGGTTGGGGAGACTGCGTGGTTCGAGATCGACCCACGGGGCGGGAACGCCGACGTCGGAGTGAAGATCACCTCCCCCAGTGGGCAGCGCGCCCCCTGTCAAATTACAAAGAGCAGCCGCGGGATTTTCCGGGTGGAATACGTCCCGTCCGAAGCCGGACCCCACAATATCTCTTGCAAATACGCCGACACCGCGCTGACCGGCAGTCCCTTCACCTGCCAGGTCTTCGACGTCCGGAAAATCAAATTGACCGGTGTTGAAGATGGAATCGTCGGGAAAGAGTCCAAATTCATGATCGACGCCACCCAGGCCGGACCCGGCGGGGAGGTCGAAGTGGAGATCGAGGGCAACGGGCGGTTAGTCAAATCTCACGTCCACGACGTCGGAAGTGGATTGTTTGAAGTGACTTACACACCGCGTGACGCCGGCGCCCATAAGATTACCGTCAAGTACGCCCAGCGCCCGGTGCCCGAGTGCCCGCTGACCGTCAACGTGTACGATCCCAGTCTGGTCAAGGTCACCGGCGACGGGCTGAAGCGGGCGTGTGTCGGGGAGACCGCGTGGTTCGAGATTGATCCGCGTGGGGGCACCGCCGATGCCAGCGTCAAGATCACCTCGCCCGCAGGTACCCGGGTCCCCACCCAGATGACCAAGAACAACCGCGGGATCATCCGCGTGGAATATGTCCCCACGGAGATCGGGCCGCACCGGATTTCCTGTAAATACGCCGGGGTGCCGGTGACCGGGAGCCCTTTTACCTGTGAAGTGTACGATTATAAGGCGGTGAAGGTGCGGGATCTGCATGATGGGTATGTGGGCAAGGAGAACGTGTTCCGGGTGGAGGCGCATGGAGCGGGACAGGGCGAGTTGGAGGTGGACGTGGAGAGCGGCGGGCGGAGTGTGCCGTGCTCCATGCGACCGGCGGGTGGGCATGGGAATTTTGAAGTGTCCTTTACGCCGCGGGAGAGCGGACACCACCATATTGTCGTCAAATTTGCCACTCGCACTGTTCCTGGTAGCCCATTCAGGTAAAGAATATAACGATGAAATTTCTCTTTTATTTTTAACAACATTTAACAAGTCTTCGAAATTTTAATAAGTACTGTCGGGAAATTTACACAATAAACTACCGATTCGGTTCAATCGGTAGGTCTTAATATGGCGTGTAATTTAATTAAATAATTAATTTGAAATACTGGCAGTTGATTTAAATACCTGATATTTTTGCAAACGTTTGTGGGCAATTGAAATAGTTATCTATCTCATTAACTTATTTATATTTTTAAATAAATTTTATAATTATTCTACACTATTTGAACAGCTATTATTTTTAATGCATTTTAACAGCTATTGATCAAATAATTAATGTTACGATATTTTGTTGCACCGGAGATGTAGATTTTATCGGGTTTAGGAAAAGGCAAAAATAAGCCGCGATTCCGTTAATCAATCAAATGTTCAATCTATAACGTGCACCTTAAACGATTTGCTTGTTAGTCCAGATAATGGTCAATTTTTTATTTATGACAATTTAATGTTAAGTGAGTCTTATCAATAACGATGTAAGATTTGCTGCTTTATGTAGGATCAACGTGCACGATGCCAGTCTGATCCGTGTCAGCGGCGACGGACTGCGCCGTGCCCGCGTCGGCCAGAAAGCCTGGTTCAACGTGGAGATGCGCGAAGGCACGCTGGACGTCCGTGACCTTTCCATTCAAGTGACAGCCCCCAACGGTTCCCCAGTTCCGGTGAAACTAGCCCAGACCAGCAAGGGCGAAGTCCACGCGGAATACGTGCCCAAAGTCGTCGGACCGCACCGCATCGAGGTGACCTTTGTCGGGCAGGAGGTGGCCGGCAGCCCCTTCCAGTGCGAAGTGTACGATCCCAGCCGGGTCAACGTCAAAGACTTCCCGGATGTCTGCTACACCGGGGAACCCAGCAATTTTGAAGGTAAGCGCCTCTGAAGGCTTCGCACGATATACGCAGCTGTCCGCTGCCGCTGAAGCTGTGTTTTATTCCATGATAAGGAAAATTGAACACAAGGGGGAAAAAGAGAGGAAATTGCCTTTGCAGAAGGGAGAAATAAGTAGGCTGTCATCGGTAAAAATTTAGTCGTATTTGCCCAAGAAATTTATCCGGTTATCATACAATCTGAATATCGTCTGCATACCATCAAGTGCATACCTTGGCATCAACAGACACTTCACTACGATTTTGCACTACAAGTGTGGCAGTGTCTGTACATGGATTCGTTTAATTGTTCGCCGATCGTAGAATTCTGTAGATGGTATTCGAATCGTAACCGGAAGCTGTTCGATTACTTATAATGACGATGTACTAATTACACTATATATTGAAATTTTAAGAATACCAAGTTACGCATAGGTCGTGCGAACTGCTTCCGTAAAACTGTTTGTAAAATAAATATTACACGATGAAATTCGTGTATAATTATAGCTTATAGAACTAATAAAAAGGTATTAAACGTTTTTTTAATTCTATTTTTTTTAATTTAAAATTTATTTAAAGCGGCGTGAACTGAATAAATTAGTATGCAGTAGATTACTTGCATGAAAAAAAGCCTCCTCCTTTAATTGAACGATCAACTGTAACCAAAATCGTCAGAATAAGAAACCCGTGAGTGTTCTTTCGCGCTGCACCAGTTACTTCACGAGAGGAGAAAGTTTATCTATTTTCCGCGGAAGAATTATTGTTTGTTGATACACCATGTTTGTATCCATCTCGAGTGGTGACTCGAACCGCGACGAAAACAGTCACTCTATCGTGCGAAAATTTGCCATAGCATATTGACACGAAAGCCCATTGCAACAATCCACCGCATAACAAAAACACCAACCACACAGCTACACACTAAACACTGCCGCAATGTATCGCAGCCGGTCAGAATCAAATCTGTCCATCCGCTATGCACGCCACCGGCAGCACAAAATGATCTATCCATATTCACCGGCATTTATCCGCATTGCAGTGACCACCCGCGATGCCGGTAAAGCCGAGTTATCCGTGAAGATTTACGGGCCATCTGGTCGGGAAATTCCAGTGGAATTAGTGGATAGTTATGACGGGCAGAAGGTGCGATTCACGCCGATGGAATCCGGCAAGCACCGGCTGCATATTATGTACGGCGGGGAAGATGTGCCCGGGAGTCCCTTTACGTTCATGGTGGATGAGCCGGGATTCCCCACGGCATCCGGGGACGGGCTGGTCTGGGCGTTGGCCGATGAGCCGGCGACCTTTCGCGTCGATGCCAAGAATCTCCGCGGGAAGCTGGAGGTGATGGTTAATGGACCAAACAGTACCGCGAAAACGACGATTTCCCCCGAAAAACACGGTACGTTGAATTTGTGCAGTAATTAACTCGTTATCAATGTCTTTTGTATCTGTGCATTACGTTATCAACTGTAGCAAACAGCAATCATTCGCCGTTTCCTGTTTTACATTATTATTATAAACTCCATTAACGGAGACCTTTTACCCTTAGGTTTTAGGTTTTTAGATTTTAATGGCTTATTGCCTACAGATACAAGGAATCACTCCTTATCAGGATCTATAGACAGGTTAAACATCTAAGAAAAAGCAAAAAACATTTGGCAATAGAAAAAGAACAGCACAATTCTAACGACATTAAAAACATTAACGACCTTAAGGGAAAACGTTTGAGTTTTAGGCTGTTGGAAATTTTTTTGTTTAATTTTGAAAATTTAACACTTTTTTGGCTCAATTTTAACATTAGGAAATTTTTTTGTATAATTGAAGATAACATCAGCATTGCACAGTGGAACACTGCGGCAGCTTTTTTACCGCTCAAAAAATTTTGTTGTATAATAATGTTGTATAAAGTACAGACTGCTTATCAAATTCGTGCTGTTACTAAATGCGTTACCATCAACTGAAAATCATATCAACATCGCAAAGGGAAAAATATTACGACTTGCTTTTATCCCCATTGCGCTCAGATACAATTTTTTATTAAGGATTTTATTTTTTAATGATATGGTGAAACAGCAAGTAGTGTAGCCACTTACTACGTTTGTACATTGATGGGCGAATTGCTGTAGGAATGTACAAAGTGACTTACATTGCCATGGAAGTTGGCATCTTCGATATAAAAATAACCTGGAACGGAAAAGAAATCCCCGGAAGTCCCTTCCATCCCAAAGTCTTTGACCCGACCAAAGTACGGGTAGTGGGCGGATGGCCGGCGCATCTGGACGAGAAAGACCGGATACGGATGCGCGTCGGGGAGGAGAAGAAGATCACGTTCGATACATCGGAAGCCGGTCCCGGGAAACTGTCGGCGGAAGTCCGCGGTCCCAGTGGATTGATCCCGGTTAAGGTGGAGAACGTCGGCAAGGACCGGGTCAAAGTCAGCTTCACCGCGATCGCCGAAGGTAAGCACAACGACAATGACTACAAGTTTTTGAAAAAACGGATTTAATAAGAAAATCAATTGATATAATTAATAAATGACCAATTATTTTAGCAGCTATTTTAACTGCGGTATTATAAATTTTTGCAGTAATACAGTACTATTGTCTGACATAAGTCGCATCGATTGCATTGGTTAGCCCGTTTATCAAATATATATAAGAAGCATTGTAAAACAAAATATTTCAGAAATATCAGCGCTTTTACTGCTATCTACTGGTCCAAAGATTTGCTGTACAAATTTACTCTTTTAATTTGGGATTGTAGCCATTTGACTTAATTTTCGGATAAATCCCTAGTGGAGCTCGAGTACTGATTTTTTTATTGTGTCTTTCCCTGTTCCACGCTTGGGATAGCGATGGCGGAGTATAGCAATTCTAGCCGGTAGTGATAGCTTTGAAGAAAAAATGAAGTTATAACGTTTGATTGTTTCTTGCGGTTTACAAATTAAGCGAGGAAATCGTTCTCTTATCGAATGGGAATGGGGATACCCACAGTTAGCCGTTGCACTACGTTTGTGACGGAAAATAATTATTTCTGCTCTGCGTCGGGTGATAATTACCTAACATTAGGTATTGGAACTGACAAACAAAATAAAATACGGAGAAAATAATAAAATATAAATTTATTTAAAATACGTGAATTTTTGTAAAGTACCACTGTCACGCTATAGGTCATCACGATATCCACGTGTGGTGGTCGGAGCAGCCCATCCCGCACTCCCCGTTTCCCGGTTGGGCCGAACCGGCGCTCATCCCCATCGACGCCGGTCGCGTGCGGTTGCGCGGTCGCGGTCTGACGGAGGCCAAAGTGCGCGAGGAAGCCGAGTTCATCATCGACGGCTCGGAGGCCGGACCCGGCGAACCGGAAGTCCACATCAGCGGCATCAAAGCCGACATCCCGGTGACGCTGCAGCATCTGGGCAGTAACGTCTACAAAGCGACATACACGGCGCAGCACAGCGGATCGTACGTTCTTAACGTCAAATGGAGCGGGGACACCGTGAAAGGCTGCCCGTACAAACTGACGGTGGCGTCCGCCGGGGATGCCAGTAAGGTGGTGGTCAGTGGGGATATCAAGAGCGGCATGATCGGCAAGGATATCAAGAGCATGATCGATACACGCCGCGCCGGACCAGGTATGCCGGAGCTACTACAGTTTTTACATTGATTCCCATCGCCTTAGCTAAGCGATTTTAAAAGTAAAGGTTATGCAGGATAAACTGGACCTCGTACATAATAATTTTCACAATGCGCTAGCTGTCCCTTTTGCAGCAGAAAAAATAAAGATTTTTTCCCTGGATTGCAAAAAAGTTTGAGTTTTGCAATCCATTTAATGTGTCAAAAGTGAACCAACTTAAAGGGAATGAAAGTACCCAAAGGGTTGTCACAACTCTAGGTTTTCCTTCTTTGGTTAAATGAGACTGGGACCGTCTTTACGTTTTAGACATCCAAGCGCAAATTCAACCAACATACATAGTCGTGTAAAAATGCTAACAGTCGCTACACCATAACTATAAAGCAAAAGAATGAGTTAATAATTTATTTCTGCATTTTATTCTACAAATTCGGAAAATAGTTATATCCATAACAAAATTATGGAATTCCTAGTTTAATAATAATTCTGCAGGCGAACTGTCCGTACACTGTATGGGTCCGCATAAAGAGGCGTTCTGTGAGCTGTATGACCACCGGGACGGAACGTACACACTGCGAATCAAACCAGCCGAAGCCGGTCAACATTTGCTCACCATCAAGTACAATGGAGAACACGTGCCAGGTAGCTATCAAGCTGCTAACGATTAGCCTCTTCGCTCTAACTTATGCTGCGAATTGTTGTGATAACTGTGGTTCTGCTTGTAGGAAGTCCATTTGCCATTAAAATTGCCGGTACACCGGATCCCAGCAAGGTGCGCGTGTACGGTCCGGGTGTGAATCACGGTGTGCTAGCCAGTTATCAGAGCCGGTTTATGTGCGAGACCAAAGGTGCCGGTGCTGGTCAGTTAACGGTGCGCGTACGCGGACCAAAAGGTAATATCGGGGCCCCACAAACTGCGCATTATGTAATTTTATTTAGATTTTTTATAAAGCTGCCGAAAATTCCATTAAGAGATTCGTAGTTGCAAGCAAAGACTCGGGCAGCTTCCAAAAACGATAAAAAATAAATACCAAAAATATATAGAGTTTTTATATAAATATCTTTACAAAATAAAATCAGTAGAAAGTTTTTTTTTTAAAAAATGATTACAAAATTATGAAAGGGCACCGGATATCTTAAGTACAAATATCCTAAACCGGACATCTAAAACACTGAATGCGCGTGCTTAGTTACGATTGATGCCGTTGGTACGTACATATTAACGATTGTGAAAGCTTTTTTAATGCTTGAAATTTAGTCGTTTTTATTTACTGTAAATCGTGCTTATATGCTGCCGAATAAAATTATTTCTTATAACAAATTGTAAAGTTTATTGTTTTGCCACGTAGGCGCCTTCCGCGTGGAGATGCAGCGCGAGAGCCAGAAGGACCGCACCATCCTGTGCAAGTACGACCCCACCGAGCCCGGCGACTACCGCATCGAAGTGAAATGGTCCGGCGAGCACGTGCCCGGCTCGCCCTTCAACATCTGGATCTTCGACACGGAGGAGGAGCTCAACCGTTTCCTGCGCACCGGCGAAATCCCCCGTCCCTCTAGTCCCTCGGCCGGCTACGTGCACGGCGGCGGCCCCATGCCGGAGTACACGTACGGCAACGCCAACGGCGTCTACGTCGCCTCCCCGCCGCCGCCGGCGGCTACCTCCTATTCGCAGTGGCGTCGTGGATCCGCCGATATCTGAGACGAATGAAAGAGAGACTGTAGAGAGATTTTATGTTGTTTTGTGACGCGCGCGTTGGCTTTTACAAATGGATCTTTTCTTCCCCCGTCGGCGGTGTGTTATCGACTGTGGTGTGTGCCCATTCTCCCTGTTACTATCTTTTTGTTGAGCGCTGGCTTGATTTGTGGTTCAAAGTCTAGAATTATTATTCCGCAAAGTTCCTGCTTAACCAGTTAATCCCCGATTTTGCCTGCAGTTTGGAGGTGTAATCTTGTTTTTATCCGGTGGTGTGCACGCTGTACCCGGCTGTTCAGAGTTCAAAACCCGAAAATATTTCTGACTGTCAGTAAAGCTGATAACGTATAAACCGGTATCACATGTATATTTTTCAACATGTCTCCATTATCTGTATCACAAGTACAGTTTGCTAATTTCTCATCCGGTGACCTTTTTTTCGCCAAGCTTCGTATGCCGTAAAAACCGTATTCAGTCTGGTAGCCTGTTTTCCGTAAAAAAGCAGACCATCCGCTTGAAGTAAAAATTGTTTTTTTTAAGGGATTCTTATACAATTTTATACGATTAATACCCTAACCAACCCATTAAGAATATTCACAAAGTATTGTCTGGTTTCCATTGTTCTACGATTTTCCTTGTTTGACAAAATATTATGGCTGTCAGGGCAGAAGGCTCTGCACTCAGGACAGCCGCCCCATCCGCCGTCTACCTGGTTGGCTCAAGCTCAAGCACAAATATCTTGATCTCAGCCAACAACGGCGATGGCCCAGTGGCTGTGCTACGTGGATCACACACTCGGTAGCCACTAGCCAGCGGTTCGATTCCGCTCCGTCGCCATTTTTCAGAATTTCCTCAACAGGAAATTCTTTCGGACTTCATCTGGCCGCCCTCCCTTCGCTGAGATACCGACGGACAGCCGTCTTTATGGCAGCCTCTGATATGGCATAACTGACAGTGAAGCGATACTTTAAAAATTGTATAACTCATTGCAAGAGTACAAAAATATTAGAAAACTATTATTTTACACAAGAGGCTTTTCGTATGCGCTCGTCTTTACACAATTAAGATACATTCAAACCATTATAAGCTGAGCAAAAACGGAATCGGGTAGATTTAAAAAGCAGACAGCAACCGCAAAAAAAACCAGAGCAAATAGCTAGCAGACACTGTACACGCCAAAAGCCGCAGACGGTTCTTATGCTTTAACCCAGGAAAACCGGGTACTAGAAGGGATGGCACTACAGTTTTGAAAATTGGCAGTCTGGGACAGAAAAATTCAATTAAGAGAAAAATAATTTTTTTGAAATTTTAGCGACCATAGGTCAAGCAGGAGATGACCATGTCGGCCTAACACGCATGGTAACCATGTTGCGCCGACATGTTATCCATTGCCGTTTATAACAACTGATTAAAAAATCGCATAGAATATGTCAATAGCTCAAACGAAAGATCTCAACGAGTACTTCACTACAAGTGCATTGTGATGGTCATTGGGATGACCAGTGGTCAAGAAAAATTTAAAAACGAGAAATCAGTAAAATGCACCATTACATAAGTGGTAGTTGGATATTTCGCAACAGTTGGTCACTTCTGCTTATGTTTGGGACAACTGGTAATCGACCCTAATATGGATCATAGTTTGAGTAACATGTGCAGTGGAAGCAATGCTATATCCGGCTATACAACTGAACTGGATAGCACAGATAAAGAGCCGGGCTGATTCCGGAAAATGATCACCATCGTTAATATACCGGTGGTCAATTCTTCAAAGTATTATACAAGTGACCAATTGTTGAGAAATACGGGAATTTAGCACATCGAGGTCAGTAAAGTTCTGTCAAAACAACAAATTTTGGTATTTAGAAAAGAAGGCCGGACTTCTAAGTCACTTCAAATCTGCGTTATTTTCTCAGCTTCGCACATATTGATTTCTACAAGTTACAAGGCATGCCGTATGAGTGCTCGTGGACCGGAAGGTCAGATGTGTGCTTCATGCAAGAGTTCAAGCGTCACTAGGAGAGTATAAATGCGCGATAAATAACTTTTTAGAGGACTTCTCACTCAATGCTACAGTGTAATTCAGATAAAATTTGCAAAGAATATTCGAATTGTTCGATGACCAATGGAGTAGCCAGCTCAAAGGACAAAGCATAATGCCAATAATAACACTCCGCACACAAGCAAATGCACTGTACAGCCTATACAACCGAAACAGCCGTTCACGCAACTGTTCCGGTCCGACATTCAGTCGTTTATGCGGTTATATTGAAGATAGTACGGGTCATAGCCATTTTGAAGATACCGAGAGCAGTCATTACAAAACTGTTTTGCATTTTTTTACATTTATTTTAATGGCGTTTAGTCAAAAATTACATTTTTCGGGTTTCCGGCCTGTGCTGACCAGTGGTCACTTCGCTGACCATTATGGTCCAGTCATTTAATACAACAATTTATGGGCTTTCTTTTGATTGTTTATTGTACCGTGTACGATGCTTCTGTCAATTGCTATGAATTTTTGAAGAATAATAATTATTTAGTACCGTGTCCAACCGTGTCAAAACCGACATGGTATTTTCAATTGACCAGCACTGACCAGTGAACGTTTTTTCTCTGAACTGTAATTCAATTTTGTATAGAGCTTAGCAGATACTTCTTTCATAATTTTTCTGGGAATTATCTGATGTGGAGTTGACTTTAAAGGGAAGCAGGACCTCAGAGAACTCCGTTTGGTCAGTTTTGACCATGTTTGGCCACTCCCTGGACCTTACGGACATGAGGGAGTTAACGGTTATACATTGCAAACTGTAGTCTAACATCTGCTTTGCTTTTTGAGTACATTGCCTTTTAATCCGAGAGAGGATAAGGATTTTGGTTGTTTTTTTAATGTTTAATTTTTAACTATTAAGTAGTGTACCAGCGCTCGCATTTATTGCCATTTGGGCGGCTATTGCCAATAAACATAGACATCTGCTCTTTGAAACAAAACCATTAAAACCAACCTATGACCATAGTTACGAATAAGAGAGAAGAAGTCCTCCACCATGTCGGTCTAACACGCATAGTGTGGAACGGGTTAACTGGCTGTCGAGTGGAACTGCTTCCGGATTATGTTATTAAAAACTGGCTTTCTGTTTCTATATGGCTGGACCCCGATCATGCATGGAAATGGTATCTGCAAGGTTAACAATATCTCTCTGCTTTGCGTCCACAGCTAAACATGGACAGCATTCAATACCGCTTACTATTTCGTAACGGGCCCGTGGCGGCAATTAAAGTCACCGGCTGGCTAAGGTCAAAAGCTTGACTTTGGATGGTGAATTTCTTCTGCAGCTTGACGACGCAGTGGAGTTCGTTGTTCACGTAGGAAGCCGATTGAACATTTAGCGGTGCTTTCCATAAAACACACAAATGCGACAGGATTGCCAACCTTAGTACCGGAAAGTTTAAAATAAATACAAGGCTATAGCGTAAGCCTGACGCGGGTTGCAAAACACTCTCCGGTTGGACTGTATACCGTACGTGCTATAAACGACGCGTGATTCTTACATCAACAGTCTGCCATCCAATAATTTAAGATGGGCGTTGGGGATGTTATACATCAGTTTGGCTTGCACGGTGTCGTTGGCATCATGGAATTATTGGAAGCAATGCACCACCGCTGAATTCGCCATGCCTTCACTCTACTTATCAACAGGTCACCTGATTTCGATCATTGTATAGTTTACAATAACTATTAACGTTTGTTCCATACATCCACTCTTTAATTTTCGCTGCTCACTCACGTTATACATTTATGCACAAAACTTGAATAAAGCAGCAGTTTTTAAAAAAATGCGAAGAAGACCGTACCATGGAGAACCCCACACCGATCCACCGGTTGCCCGTGAGATTCAAATGCAGTTGATCGCCACTGGCCACAGCGAGAAGGTCAACCGTCACCGCATCATTGGCTGTGGCGATGCTGGCGAGGAATTGACATGACGCTGTTGACCAGCACTGTGCCTGGAGACTGGCACACCGTGCCACTATTCTGACACGTTTGGCTGACGATATTCAAAGATGACCCGCAGCCGGTGTTTTGGGCAGCCACCACACGGAATGTCCAAATTAACAAAACTGGCGGGAAAATGTATGACTGCATTATGGGCCAGTTGATGGAAACGGAAGCGCAAAAACCGTTTCTGGCAACCGTGGATTTTTGCATAAAGAGCTTGTAAAATGCTTGACTGAAATCATTATTATTGCGTTAGCAAGTGCATTGGCACTTACTGCTACGTAAAACCATGAGACGTTTTCGAATGGTATACTCTAGTTGTTTCCGTATCCGCTCATAAAGCCAAGAAAAGAGCGATTGTTATGGCGCGGTAAAAGATGTAGCGCGGCAACCATAAAAGCCTCTTACATTTTTACATTGTGTGTTCTTACAGAGAACATATAGTACATGGCGGTTTTTGGCACATTTACGCAAAAGTGAAACGATGTGCACATGTACAAATATGATCGTAATAAAAAAATGCAATAAAACGCGCTTCTTTATCGGCATCAATAAAGTCATCATACGTTTGTTAGCTGGGTTCGGGAGGCACCGTTAAGGATTGTTTTTAACCGCTGGACAAATAGTTTAAAAGTGTGACAGTTTAATTTAAATGTGCGTAATGAGGTAACTGACATTGTGTTACAACCATAATACAAACTGCATCTTTTCCCTTATGCTATTTGCAGAGTTTTTGACAGACATATAAAAGCGGAATGCAGGCCATTCGCCGGAATGGCAGATCACGGGAAGCTGACTTTGGCACTGGGAACGTGCGCTCTATCGTGCTGTGCGATGGCATCTGTAAAATAAAAAAAACGTTTCTTGCCGGCACGGTTTCCTTCGTAATACACAACTGCAACCCACTTTGTATCAGCGGTCCATTGTCTCCAATCAGAGTGACCGTCTGCGTCAGGTCAAATGCCTGCCCACTGATACCAAATTGTTTCTTCGGGATAGCTGCGTAGCGCATTTCGTTGTTGGCAAACTGGGCGCTCTGCACGGTCAGGGCGCTTGCTAGAAAACAACCCAACCTGGTCAAGTATGATATTACTGAAAAGGTCATGAATATTAAGATGATTTCTGTACATCGACGCCGATCCAACCCATGTTGAAATGCGCGACGTTGAACGTTGAACGTTGAAATGCGCGACGTTGAACGTTGAACGTTGAACGTTGATGGGAACGTTGAACGTCAGTTTGCCTTGAATGGTCCCGTTGGCGTCATGGAAGCAGTGGAATATGACTGAATTGCGCATCTGTCCGGTCTACAATCATTTCTTGCTATAAAAACCCAGTATTTTTTTCCTCAATACCAAAGCTTTTTTCACAGTTCTAATGGTTACAACAAACAACAACAAGTCGAGACAACAGCAGATGACTGTACCGCACTGGTGGATTGGCCGCCCGCATTGCAACTGCGGTTCAGACTAAGATGGACGGTGCTGAAGCGGCATGATTATCACCGGCTCCGCTGAGGATTTAGGCATGAAGTGCTAAGACTCGCAGACAAGGTCGAAGGATCGATAACACCGGCGAACTGGTGGTATCAACGCCCTCCGGAATTGAGCGATTCAGCAATTCGTTGAGAAATGTCTGCTGGTCGAACGCATTCCACCCAGAAATGTCAGCAGTCTTAAAAGAAAATCCTATCTACTTTAAAAGAACCCGCGATTCGGTTTGTACCTTTATCGCTCCGTTCGTTCCAAACAAAAGCTACCTTTGGCATTTCCGCTAATCAGTGCAAGGAGGTTGAGCAATTTCACCGTTTTCAATTGCAATAGAGTGATGTTGTCATATCAATAGCTGAAATGCAAGCACGGACATGTCAATCAAAATAATAATAATGTGATAATATTTTATAAATTTTGGCGCTTCTCAACCGCAGATGTTACGCATGTTCTGCTTGGTGATCGATACACTTCAATATATATACAGCTAGCTGTTTGTACATAAACGTACCTTGACTGCGAATAATATATTATTTTCCGTAAGAGTCAAGGCGGTTTTATACTGTGTATACTGTATATACGGTGTATACTGTATGTACTGTATCTGTACCAAAATGCGCGTGAGTGCAGACTGCATAGCTTTATAGGGAAACACAGCTACCTCTACAAATAGTTCGATCAGCCGGTTTTTTCTTCTGCAAATAGAGAAACAGAAATACATACCGGTGGACGCAACGATCCTTCAGCATTTTCTTGGAGGTTGTAATTTCCTCCGGGCATTGGAGCAGCTGGTAGATCAACGCACCTGAGATAAAATTAGCCACAGGATAATTACATCGGCAGCAAACATAACACTTCAAAAGCAGAATAGCTTGGCGGCATGAAGACAGTTACCTATTTGCCGAAACCCTAGTGGACTTTAAAACTGTCTTTCAATGTTAAGTATATTTTTGATCTGGGCACAAGTTTGATCTACCTGGTCTGCACTATTAGTGCAGCTTGCTACGCTTTGCAGTTAAAGCACGTGCACCATGGAAATCCTTTAAATTTCATGGTATTTTTAATACCATGGACCTTTAATACATTTTGCACTTTAGCATTCGCTTCATTGGAGTTGTATCCACTGTAATGTTTTTAGTGGGCTTTAAAGCCCATTCTGCTTTTGCGGCCAAGGTAAAAAAGAGAAAGGAATAAATAATGGAAGGAATGTTTTTTGGTCAGACAGAGGAATGAATAATTAAAGGAAGGAAATTTCGTGGTCAAAAACAGGAGAAAATTTTCGTGGTCAGATTTGATGGTCAAAAATAAGGAAACTAATTTTTCGGTAAATGCGCTAAGAAATTTTTAAAAAATTGTGGGAATCACGCTTGGTGGTTTTTACGTTTTAAAAAGTAAGCATTGATCAGTGCAGAAAAAGCTACACATACAATTGCAATTCCAAGATTGAGCAATCAGACGTGCGCTCATGAAGTAATGTATAAACACTGGGATAACAAATAACAGTAAAACGAATAACATTATTATTTTCAACATAAACACATACAGTAATACAATGCTAACATCGAATGCGCTTTGATTTGCTGAATCATCCAAAGCATAAATCAGCCTTTTGGTCATGAAAGTTTCACCTTTTGCAGAACCGTGGTATACCATCATACTATGATTGACAAAATACTGTCGTGTGCAGTGGCTGACAAACTACAGATTCCATTTGATAGCTGCAATTCAGTGCGGTATTGCAACAGCACATACGTCGCAATGCCACTTATTTTTAATGATAACGGTCAAATCATGATTCTATAATCCCTAAAACTGTCTATAGAAGATCTATAGAAGAAAATCAGATGTATTGATATAGTTCCAAGCAGTTACTAATTTACATCGATTTGTTTTGTATCCAGCGTTTATTTATTCCGCACATTTATCGGTCTGCAGGTTATTCTATAAACAGCTGCAAAAGTATTGTTCTAGTGCTCTGCATTAGTATGAGTGACACTGTAACAGTAGCATCAGTGCTGTATCACGCAGGATTAATTTTGTTTGGTCACGCCCTTTGAGCGTCAGCAGATGAAATTTGTTTTTTTTTAATGATAATACGACAGTACACTATGTTTCTGCAAAAGATGATATTTTCTGATTCTGGACTCGTCAAATGTGCCCTGGTTAGTGGTAAACTGGGAAAGAAAGCTTGCATATGATGATATGGGTTATTCTTTTTTCAGTCACCTTTTTAGGGTACCACCCTTTCTGTTTGTTACTCAACGATGGAAGCAAGAAGGACAGAGCAAACCACTGTATACCATATACGGATAAAATTGACACACTAAAACACATACTTCATACTTGCAAAAAAACCGTTTATGTAGCCTCCACTACCGGCGACTTTTAGAACCAAAATTTACAGTAGTATTACAGCAAAATGCAATAAACAGGCAGTCTATATACAGTGATCTTCGCTCTCACATATAAAGCTTTCAAAAACCTCTATGCAATTTTTGCTGTTTGTGAACCATTTTATTTTTTCATCGCACAAAAAATTTCCTTTCTTTTTCTGACCATTCTGTTTTCTTTCCTCTCTGACCCTCAAAATTTACTTTTTTTTGACCGAGAAAACCTTCCTTCCTGTAATTATACGTCATCTCTTTGACAACGGAATTTTATTCTTTTAATTATTCTTTTTGAACATTCCGTTCTTATTTCTCAGTCCTCTTTTTGATTTTGCCAGTTTTGCAGCGAGACGACACACTAGCTATCAGTTCAGTGTTCCACAATACACGCAATTGTGATTACTCTTACTGAATAAATTATAAACAATGTTTCGCAACAGAAATTAGCAATAATTTACTTCTTTTATGAAATTTAGGCAACTTTAGCAGTAAAAATGTTCGCCGGCTTCACGCTTTGCGCAAAAATTGCTTTCCACAATACACGCAATTGTGATTACTCTTACTGAATAAATTATAAACAATGTTTCGCAACAGAAATTAGCAATAATTTACTTCTTTTATGAAATTTAGGCAACTTTAGCAGTAAAAATGTTCGCCGGCTTCACGCTTCGCGCAAAAATTGCTTTCCGTTTGAACTCTGTATAACAGCGATACAGTGTTCTTTTTTGAATTTTAACTTACGCTTCAAATAAATTTCGATATATTGCTATTCGTTTTAGTAAAATTTTTAAATCTTATGACAAGGGCTAAGCAAGTTAAGTTTGCAGCTTTACCTTCCCAGACCAAACTTGGCCTAACAAAGTGCAAGTTATTTATTATATGTGCCATACCAACAATTCACGCTAAAGGCTCCATTGGGATAACTTACGAAAGCGATCCATACGCACAAATCTCCCAGGAATCATGAAGCGAAATGCTCATCAAAACATAAACTGCCGCTCAACTAGCAAAAGTACCTTAAATTGTCTCCAGAAGCCATGCAGATTTAGATTAATAGTGCGTGCCAAATTAAAGCGAGGATCTTGGACCCATGCACGTTTTAAAGATAACGCGGCTCGACGGGTTGCACGAAGTTGTTTGTTAGATCAATCAGCAACTGACATCGTCGCAAACGATGGCAATGACACTTGATCGGCGAACCGTGCGATTACATTTTTGCAGTACTTAATCAGTCACGACTTCTTCCTGATAATATTGAAAGGTAAATATCTGCACAAAAACTAGTTAAAAAAACTTGAAGAACTGCAACACTGAACTCATTTGAGGTATTTCTAGTTTTTGTGGTACATAATAGTTTCGTTCGTTTTAATTTCGTTTCGTTGACTCGGTCACCCCCTGACTTATTTCCTATATAAACTAAAATCAGCCCCGTTTTGGTACTGAATATCAAGCACAGCCGCCATAGTTTGATCGGAAGCGTTTTAAGAATGCGTCTTAAAATTATAGTTTTTGTGCTTTTAGCCTTATGCATGAGTAAGGAGGTGTATGGAATTGTAAATGGTCAACTAAGCAGACCACACCGAGCGGGTTACCAAGTCGCACTACTGCTTTCAACTGATGTGCCGAAAATAAAAAAATACGACTGCGGTGGTTATATTGTAAGTCAAAACTTCTAAAAGTTTTTGCTACCAGTAATTGAGTTTTGCCTTCTCGAATAGGTCACGAATCAATGGGCTATGACAGCAGGTCATTGTTGCAGCCAGTGCAGTGACACACGTCCGTGCTCTATTCTGGTTGGCGCCTACGATCTTAAAAACAAGAATGACCCCACTGCGCTCGTTGTGCCAACGGAACGTTTCGTTATACACAAGAACTACAAACCACCAGCGGGGCTTGCATGGGACGCTTGTCTTGTGAAATTTGCGAGGGTAAGAATTTACATGATTTAAATTACATCATTAATTTCAACTGCGTCATCGTTTTGTATATTTTACACCGTTTTTTTCGTTTTGAGCTTGCTACGATAAGAATTTTAGCTAGAGTAACACGGAATATTTTAGGCTATTGATTTAAACGCCCATACAAAGGCGTTATGTGTCGCAAGTCAAACAACTGGCCTTCCGCTCCAAAAAACCTGCAAGATAAGGGGATGGGGAGTAACGCAGTGTACTCGAGGCGGTAAAATGTTTGATACCCACAGCAGCTCCGGAAGTGACGAGATGATAAGCAACCATATCCACTCAAAGACCGTTCTAAAGCTCCCAACATCCAGCGTCAGTGCATTCGAAGAAGATATTATCGTGAAGGCTCCTGCTAGCCCAAAGTTAAAAAAACTTCATGCAGATTGGTTGTTAAAATCCGAGTGCAAGAAACGCCACGTACTTCCAGATTTCGCCTGCGCACTGACGAAAAATTATTCAGGGCCTTACAGCGGAGACTCTGGGGGCCCACTCACATGCAAAGCTCTAGATGGGAAATACTATGCCTACGGTCACTTCATCACCGGGTAAGTCAATAGTAATGGACCTTAACGCACGTACAATTCAGTCCGGATATTGTGACAAAACAGAAATAGCTTCAGCAGCATGATTTACTGTGTCACTAAGGAGGTTATGTGTTAGTGAGTGCAAGCCCGTCAACGAGCCAGGATCGTACGTCGATTCGTCACTTATATTTGAGTGGGTAGCTGAGACCGTAGGACGTAATGAAATCAACAAAAGCTGTCGATAAAGATTGACAGTAGCGTCGGATCAACAAGGAAGTCTACGATCAGTAAGGTGCCAATAACGGCGATCTAGTAATGGTTTTTTTTTCACGTCGACCACCAGATACCATTGGTCCGCTGGTATAGCATTTGTGGCGTTTGAATCCATTGAACAATGAAGACTAATTTAAAAAAGTCCTTAAATATTTACCGGTCTGCTTTGGAGTATCGGCAGCTACTTTATTATATCGAATTTTTAAAATTTTGGAAGACGCTGCAAGAATATTTTTGGCTTACGTCTATCCTTTTCTAGCAGTTTTAACTCACTGTCTCACCTTTGACGTCTACGGCAATAAACTTCAGCTTACAGTATAATGTACGCAATCAAGCTGAACCTTTTGCAAATAACAATAAAGGACAATCCCTTCATCAGGACTTTCGTTCATGAAAAACAGTGTAAAGTACACCCAATCCGTAAGCACCACCATACAACACGACTAAACACCAGAGCAAAACTATTCAGAAGAGCTAACTAATAAAAACACTGATCTCTGGGTAAACACGCGTTGGAGGCATTAAGTCAATTAAGAAAAACGCCGGAATGCCTTTTATCCTACGCAACTAGGTGTCAAAAACACCGAATGACAGGTGATGATGCGGCCACACATATCTGTCCTCTTTCTTTGCATCGACGGTACCCTCCGTCAAGATGACCAGGCCGGCTGTCTGCTTCTGTTTGAACATGTGGGCCACGGTGATCTGTACTCGGAGCGGAACATTTTGCTTCAGCGCGACATGAAGGCGGCGCTCTGAGTTCTGTTAGAATCTTCCCAGTTGATCAAGCTTCCGGTCGCGTAGAAAGCGAACCAATTTCAGCTAGCCGAAGTTGTGCAACAGCTGTAGCGCGTCCTTATGGCTGAAGCGTTCTAATCGCGCCCTATCCACTTGTTCAACCACAGGCAAAAATATATTTAAAACAATCGAAAGAAACATAGAGCGTCCAGTCTTTAAAGAATAACCTATCTACTAGTCAAACCTTTTTTGAAATTCCCAATTTTAATAGCTAAATTTACTTAAAAAAGCAGCAGAAATTCAACAGTTTTACTAAAAAAATCCAGTTCAGACTCCCGCCAGAAAAATTGAAAAATCGGTGGCGATAATCCCAGAAATTATTTTAAGAATTTGATCTTGAATTTTGCGACCTAAATTATTCACCTAAATTATTTAAAGAAATCAATTTTAAGCTGACAAAAATAGTGGAAATTTTAAAATAAGCGGAACAGAAGAAGAATAAGCGGTCCAATGCTTACTTGTACAATCTGATCGTTAATGCGGATCCGTCTATCGCTGCCGTTTGCACTGCCCTCGGCCATATTTTTCTCAAAAATGCCAGAAATCGTATCTGCATGTCACAAACCAAAACGTGCTGAGTACTGCCTCTACCAATTAAGTCAGCGTAAATGCATATTTCAACAAACCAAGCGGAAAGGAAGGAAATAAAACTGGTCATAAGCAGTTATGAAAACGGTGAAAATTATTTCACAGAAGTGCACATAATATTATAGCGCAATATGCGCGGTAAAATTAGTTGCATAATTTAGGGAACCGATTGGTGTATTACCTACACGTATTGTTATTAACTGTATTACACGGAAATATAGACTATTGATATATTATTTCGCACGTAACTGGACGCATTCACTTTCCTCCAGTGCCTTGCAGAATCTTTGCCTTTCTAACTGACGCAGCCAGAAATCAATCCATGGCAGGTCTTGACATACTATTTTCCAGAGGATAAGAATCTGTTTCCACTGATCGGCAATCGGTTGTTACAACGTAACTCGTATCATAATTCGTAATGGAGAATTGTAGATTTCACATGGTTTAGGCTCCGTTGACTAGAAAGTACTGCGTAACATAAGCAGTACGTTAGCAGAATGAACTTCGTTTAAAATGATTGTACGGACGCACACTTGCAGTGACGTGCAGCTGAAAAATAAATCGAATCGAGAGTGTCGAGAGCGTGACCAACCTGCTGTCGGGGAGGCGGTTAGAGCACACAAAAAAAATCAACAGGCAGCATACGCTGGCTTATCGCTCAGCCATATGGCTGAGCCGTTGTACAGATCCGCGTAAGGCAGACAGTTTTTACGCGTCAGCCAGTGACGTTGGGTTACGGCGCCTTACGTCGCGGAGGGACGTAAATCAACCCGTAACGCCAACGCATACACGAAAGTCAAACTGTACGGAACTCTGCGTGGAGAACGAACCCAGAACAAAGCCGGAATACTATTTACCACGTTGTGAAATTAATATTTTTCTCTTGTGGTCATAATAGCAAATTTTTAGCAGCTATCCACAAGGATCAAAGTGATCAAATTTGGAATGTTTGAGATGAAAAATTTGTTTGAATTAATCAGTCTGTTAGTTGTCATGCAGGGCAGACAGATTGCAGTAGGCACATGTATGTTGCTGCAGCTGACGTTGCTGACTACCACGCAACATCCAGCATCACAGCACAGCGTCCACGGCATCCGCTGCAGCTCCGCCTCCAAACGCGGGAAATGCTGCACCACCGCGAGTGTTGGCCCGTATTGAGTCATATGTGTTTTTGAGTTTTTGCTCACGGCACGCTACTCGTGTCGTAGGCAGCCAATTTTAAAATAATTTATCGTGACGTCACACTGGTTAGTACTGTACTATAAGACCATAGGTAGGCTAACGTACCACCCGAGTCCGCAGCTGTAAACTAGCATCATCCATCACCGACTCTAGGCCTGATCCAGACCGGACCTAGCGTTCAAGAAAGAAGTTCCAGAATCCGATCGTGAACGCCCATAACATGGGAGAAGTTCCCCGTAGCCCGGTCACAATTGGCAAAGTCCACATGGCTGCGGCCCGGGTGATACCAACCACCAGCCAAAACCTTCTCTACAAGATGGGCAGGACCAACGCCCAGAGATGCTGTGCGCCAATCCTTCCTGAATCCATCAAACTGCAGGCGACGGACATACCGTCCAACTCGCCGGTCTCTGTGGGCCCGAGCCCAAGCCACTTGGCCCAGCTTGGCCAACCCTGGTGACGCGCCAACGGCGAATCTCACCAGTCGTACCTGATGCGGACGACAGTGGCCGGACACCGATCGTCTGACGGCAATAACGCCGACAAGCCTTCCGGACCCGTGAGCGTCACCAAAGGCGCCACGGTACCCGGAGCTCGTGGTCAAGCGAGACGTCGCACCACAGTCTTTCAGGATGCAAGAGTGCTTCCTGAACCGTCCGCCGTATGTAGAACAGATGGACGCACCGCCAAAGGCACGGTAGGATCCGTCTGTAGAAATCCAGGTGGATCGTCCGCTAAGGATGCGGACCAGATCGACTTTTCCCATGGGCTTAGGAAAAATGACTAAACTCCGGCAGCAACCACTGCTGCCTCAGCGAAACCATGTGCACGTGCGCGCTTCGATAGATTAGCTACCTGTCCAGTAAGACGGAGCACAGGTTACGACCCCTTACAGACCAACGGTCCCGTAGAGCCGTCGGTGAAATGCACCCCCATGAATAGCAGCGTTGGTGAAGGTTCCACTCATCAGGCTCCAAAATCACCCATGCCGAGGTGCAGACTATTCCGACACCAGAGGCATCGGGCAGTGCAGGCACTAAAGCTCGGATAAACCGGAGAGATCACCCGACGTCCAAGCCCACAGCCCGCAAAGATAGCCCGCCCCTCGTCACAGCAACGGGAGTCCATGATGCAGAAAGAAACCAGTATTACCATACCGCAAAAGCACTGGCTTACGGGATGGCAAAGTCTATCCCGATACCAGAGTACCGGCCAAACGGAACCGGGTGCCTAGAAATGAACAACTCCTCTAAAGGAGACCTTTATTGGGCGCAGGTTTGGGTTGCCCTGTAGCTGGTAAGGACTTTTGGGATCGTTGAGAACATGGGCTTACCCGTTGCAGAGGCAACAGGAACTGACCAGCATTCTAGAACCTAAGAGGCTGAACTGCAACGTTTTCTGGAAGACCAAAACCCCATTCGTGACTTGAAACCAAACTTGATCAGAAGAACCAGTCTGAAGCCGAAGAACGAGAAACAACGTGCTCGGACCAGAACGGTAGGGGAACTTAAAGACAAAAAGCCCGATGGGCTCAGGTAAACCGCGTTGTCCTTACTGAATCCTGAACTGGACCATATACATCAAAATGTTTACACTGTAGAACCAGAATCATCTAGACGTGAAACTTGCGTACCGGCCCAAAGAGGGGCCCTGTCGCCTCCACTCTATTCCCCTAAGGACCAGAAACGTCCAAACGTGAGCCAGATGAATCTTACTCTGAACTGGACCAGACCTGTCAAGCAGTTGAACTTTTACTATTCATGTTCCTCGCGGCCAACCGTCGCCGAGACATTCTGAAGTTAACACGGCGCTTATAGCATAGGCCTGCCAGATTGCCTTAAACACAGGACCGTCACTGCAACTCTCTTGCGGCAAACCGCCGCTAAGATGATCTCAAAATCGACTCAGCGAGTCTTAAACTCAGGGCCAATCCGGACGGGCTCTGGATTACCCTACGGGTCGGTCCAAATCAGAATGCCCGTACCCGCAGGTCAACCCGAGAGTTCCAAACACAACACAACACCCACACAAGAGTCCCAGACGTCCACAACTTGGACGTCCAATCATCAGCAGATGCCTTCACGACCTAAAAGCAGTTTGAAGGCTTTTGGACCTAGAACACCGATCTTGGACGTACTTTGGACCGCCCTACGGGTAGGTCTAAACCACGAAGTAGTGGCCTGGCCAATCCGATGCTTTCGGGTCGACCAGCCAACGTTTGGGTTCAGGCCACTACGTGGTCCCGACCAACGTTTACCTCATGGCTAAATTCTCAGGGACGTCGCGCAACCAGGAAGCTTACTAGGAGCCTACGGCCTTCGAGACGACCAGAATAGACTTTACGGGTTCTTAATATTGGCGCATCCTGACACCAATAACTTTGGCTCGCCAACAACTTTGATCCGACAACAGTTTGGGCCAGCCGGCAACATTGGCTTGCCAGGCGTATTGCCTGCAATGGGCGCACCTGGACAAACGTAACCTGGCCTGTCCAACGACAGATTCAACAGGAGCACCACTCCTACCTGAACCACATGGCCTGATCAGGTACCATACAGCTAAGCCGGCTTTATGGTGCTTGGCCACATGGAAGGATTGCCCCACAGGACCTCCCAATCCCGCCAGTGCATGTCAGAGACCAAATATGGGCCACCCTACCGGACCGGTCCACCATACCCAGACCAGGAAGAGGACAAATTGTCCTCGCGAAAGCGACAGTGCCTCCCATACATTGCGCAGCTGAATTATTTCACTGGACACAGTGGACATCTCTGGAAACCGTCGCTCCGGATCCATAAGACCAGACCAATCCTAACGGAATCAATGGACCGTTGACTAGGAACCCCTGTGGACAACTTGCCCTGTGGAGCACACCTAGTCGTAATAATTACAATTTGCCTGGTTTTTACCATAACTGGTCTTTCTAGACTTCCTTTCTAGACTTCCTAACCAGAATATTGCTGTTTTATTTAGCATTTATGTTTAATTTGAGCCTGTCAAAGCACTTTTACTCTTTTACCCATCACCGACCGAAAAGCCCTCATACAACACTGGATCCACTCCCGCCCAGAGGCATGTCAAGATCGCACACTCGTGGCGGCTGGCGCCTCCCTTGGCTTGCTCTGTCGCCCGCACGCAGGTGGCCACGCCACTTGTGCCGCTTATACTGCGCGCTTACCCATCGCATACTTTGTCTGCGCTGGCCAATCGGCAGCTGCTGCACTCGTCATGGGCGGAGCCTTTTGCGCACGAGCGTTCACACAGCGCTATAAGGCACAGCTGTTACGCAGCGTGATGCCGCATCGTCGTTTCCACTTTCCAGCATCGACGCAGTGCGCCAGCTATCCTGGCCGAATAGACTTTGCGGTTTTTGTTGTTGGTTAGCTGTCTGTTTTGGGGCATTTCTTCCCTTTATTGTTAACATTGTTCACATTGTTCACAATAAAGTGTGTGTCTGCTCCCTTTTGCTGTCAGATATGACAGCACCTTGAACGCCTCTATAATGCCTTCAAGGGTCCTACGACCGGCAGCCATATGGTTGGCATTCGGTCGCCCCTCCCAGAGACCTCCTAGTTGGGTGGCACTTAGTAGCCGTCTTTATGCCTGTTTATTTTTTGTTGAATACTGCCAATCCGTAAACGAAAATTATTACAAAATACAAAAAAATTATTGTATATTTTTAAATTTATTTTAAACTTTAGTAAATTTATTTTTGTGAATGAAGCATTATAAATTTTACAACTTCCGTACGTGACTTTAGCAGGCTTTGGTTATCTTCACTTTATTGTCGGTTTGACCTAACAATGGGCCGCACTTTGCCGGTGGGGGAATATTGCTTTCCGAAAACACAAAAACCAATTTCAGCCGACACACATTTGCCGGCAATTGAGGTTTCACAATGCTGCCGTTCAAACCTTCATAACATGTTTTGCATTATGTGCTATTTCACAATTTTACAAAGAATTATATTTGTATAGAAGCACAAATGCTCAAGTTCATACATCTTTATTGTAAAAAATAATTTAATTTATCGTTGCACGTTAACAACATTTAATCTAACGGGTGGCATGAGCGTGCAACGATGATTATACGCTAATTAATGCATACAAATATGCATAAGAGTCGGATCTGCACTTTACGTCTGCAAATCACCTCTCTGCATTTAGTTATTAGACTGCATGGTGCTGAACTGCTTATTAAGGATGAATAGTAAAAGACCGAACACAGAACAGTAAGTTGCAGTACTGCTAATTATTAATAGGGTGATGCAACTGTTATTATGGTCATTACACCGATTAACTAAATG